TCCCTGGGAACGATCGAACGGTACTCGATAAAGCTGCTGTAAGTTGCTGTTGTTGTTGTTGTTGTTTCTATTGTTGCTGGTGTTGTTGTTGTTGCTGTTCTTGTGGCTGTTTCCGCATCCTCTTTGACAAAACTTGAGGCACAACTCGGCGGTAGGTATAGAAATCTGCGGTATACGAGTATATGGGCTATATGGGAAACTATGGATTGTCAGCGGAGTGTTGTGTTGGGAGGGAGGGAGGAAGGGGGGTCTGGCTGCTTACTTTGTTGCGAGTACACCGCAGTACGTGACGAAGAACAAAAGAAGGCACTTGCATGTTTCCTGTCATTGGGAGTCCTTACGCTTTTTTACAGGCACGGCCCAGACAAAAACAACAACAACAACAACAGCTCATACTTTATCGCATATATTGTATATAGTATGTACATAGTTGCTATTGCTCTTGTTGTATCCACAAAAAAGCACGCTTACAATAATAATGACATTACAAATACAAATACAATACACACACAAAACATGGTGTGTGATTTAGAAAAAGTGCACCCGACTTTGGAAAACTCTATAAAGTTTAAGATTATAGTCTGTTTTATAGTTTATCTGAGCTATTATTAAAGATTCCAACAAATGTCATATAAGTAATAAATCATATAAGAATGCTATATTTTAAAGCGGACTCTTTAGCAATTGTTGAAAAGAATTGTTTCTGATTTCCAAGTCGAGTCTATATAGCCATGTCCGTCTGTCTGTCCGTCCGTCTGTCTGTATGAGCGCAAGGATCTCAGGAAGTACAAGAGCTAGAATAACCAAACTTGGTATCGAGGTTCCCCTAAGTCCTACGCAGGTCAAGTTTATTTTTTTATTCTGCTATTCGTGTTTAATTCTTGGAATTTCAAACTAAAATTAGGTAGCTACATCTCGTTAGTGATTATGTGTCTGTATGCCAAGTTAATTTAAGTAAAATTAAATTAAAATCGGAGGCATTAATAGATGTTATTGTATAGTTTTTTCTTCTTTTTATTATTAAATTTCTTTATTTTATTTGATATTATATTAAAATATAAATCATAGTTTTTGAATATGCATAGACAGCACTTTTTGTTGATTTATTGAATAAATAAATAAAAATATGTATGTACGCTTGAAGGACCGTTGTTATGCGAACAATGTATCTGGGATTTAATGCGAATATCGAGCAAACCATTTGTAAGCCAAGGACTTGAAAAACTGGGATAAGAGGATGAACTACCTCGAAGCTAGCTTAAAATCATATTTTCAAAAAAATTTGAAAAGTTGTTTCCTCTTTCAAACATTCAATATACGCCGAAAAATATGGATTTTTGTTTTTTGAATTTTTAAAAATAAATTCCCGCGTAATATACAAATTTCACATACAGTACAAAGATTTCTAAACAAGTATGAATATTATAGGCTGGGTTTCAAGGTCTTCAACATGTAAGTTCAAGTCTTCTTTTGAGGCTGGATAAGGGACGGACTTCTACTTATCAGTGGTCTAGACGGCTTATTTCTCTCAGGCAGCAATTTACTTCTGTGCGATATATACTTACAACGCATAGTACAAGTATGTACAAAATAATACGATGTGATTAGAAATAACGCATTAAATTTTGGAAACCCCTGGATACTTTCGAAACTATGAACTACAAGATAAAAACTGAGTGTTCCCAAAATGTGGGCCATGGGGGATTTTAAGGCCCATGACGAAATCAAATGTCAATTTATTGTCTGACCAAACACTAAAGGGACAACATTTAATTTGCATTATATTATAAGGATGTTGTTAAATTTTAAATGTATTAAAGAATATAGCAAAGAATAAAACAAAATAGGTGGTTGCTGAAATTTTCCATTAAACAAACATTTGCATACTAAATGGTTTTCAAATAGTAACGAATTTAAAATCGCAGACAATGCTTTTAAAGCTATTATGAAACATATTTTGGAAATCAAGCTGATTTGCTAGGATGCTTGGACTAACACGAATGGATTGTAAATTGATCGCCTGATCGTCTAAAACTTCTAGACATCTTCTACTACTCACTTTTAAAGCGAGCTGTGTTTTCAAAATTTCTGTGATGTCTACCTTGTTGCAATTATGAATAAAAACAACTGCTCGGAGCAGCGTTCTTAGCTTTAAAATGAATGCACCTCCCACATTGTGATTGTAGGGTATAGCGGCCATTTCGTTGCGCAAACTTTCTAACGAGCTCAGAAAATAATTTGTGGCAGCAACGCCCAAATTTGTGGTTCACACTAGAAATATATAGTAATGCGAAAAATCGTTCGGGCATTTTCTATTTATATAACCAAACCACCATTTGTATTGACAGACCAAAGAGAAATGCTTAGCAAAATATTGACTTTGCATATTTGTGGAAAATATTGAAAATGTTAAAAGAAAAGAGAGGCAGGCATATTTATTTATATTAAATGGCAAAACACAAACACAATTTTCACAACAAAAAGATACCTTTTCCGCAACCGCAACTGCATGTGGGCAGAAAAAATAAACACAAAAAGGGGCAAGATCAGGGACAGGTAGTGATCATCCATTTGGCTATGAGGGCGTTACTAAATTTGGGCAAAAATGTATTTGCATTTCTGTAATGAAAAGATAATATTTATGCGCCACAGAATATCAGAAAAACTCAAAGATGGAAAAAGAAACTCATTGTGTTTTAAAATGAGAAAAACAACAAATAACAATAAACAGAATTCGAAAACAGATGTGCTTGGGAGGGCTTAAGGAATTATGTTAGAGAAGGCATAAAAATCAATAAACATTTTATAATCTCACAGTTTGTATAAATGGGATACTTTATTTTTAAAACTTGAAGCACATGATTGTAAATATATGTCGAATGCTGAAAAGTTGTCCAATTCATTTATTGGGGAGTATTTCATCAAAGTTCTCTGTGCAGTTTTTCTTGCAAAGAAGTCTTAACTAAAAAGACTTTAATTTTTATGTGGTTTCTTAGATGCTCTTCCATTGCCATTTAGGTCTGTCTGGGGATTTGATTTCGTTTGAAATCGAACGCTCTCAACACACAACCCACAAGCAACAACTGAGTGCACATCAAAGCAGCTATATAGACGCTTCAACACTTGTTCGATATACAAAAAAAAAAACTAAAGAAAAAATGGAAGAAAAAAATTGTGAATTGGCTGCGCTTTGCCGGAATTGCATGTCAAGGAGTGTAAATCATCTTTAAGGTGTTCTCATCGGCAGGCACTGATGGATTTGTTGGATGTGTTATTGTTATTGTTATTGTTATGATTCGTATGAATTGAATGCGTAATTGGTCTGTTTTACACTCAGCTCTGCACACAAACATAAACAAATTCCGATATACTAGTGGATCGTGTGGGTTTATTTATTTTTAAAGCGGCAACAAAAAAAATGCAGTCGGCAGATCAAAAGACTTGCTCGCACACAAACGGCTTCCCAGCCCACACATTTAAATTGTATAATAATTGTTTATTAAACATTAAAGACTTTACTAAATGCTATCCAGCCGCTGCCATCAGCCAAAGTGTCAAAAAGTACATAAAATTTTATGCGTCGGAAGCCGCACTCGCGTCACAATAATTTGTATTTCTATGTGGTTGCTGGCCCTATAAATACAACCACAGCACCACAGCAGCCACGGCAACATATGGCAACCACCGACTCCCCTGACTCGACTCACTGACACAGACTCCAAGCGGCAACAACAATTTGGTCCCCTCTGATCCGTTTACCATAAATATGTTGATATATCTCAGCGCAGGATTAGCTTCCTGTGTGCGCCCATCTGGAGCTGCCGACTGGCGGATTAGGCGGTGACGACCAAATATATGAAGTGTTAATTTGTCAATAATTTTTATGTTCCTACCGCTGCCTAGAACACTTCAATTCTAATTTCCCCCAATTTGGTTTGTTGTCTCGTTTTTATGGAGCAGGCAATGGGAACAGAAAGATGATGGGCAGGGTTCGACCCCACAAGGCCACATTTATGACTACAATTATTCGTCATATATAGAAGTGAGAAATAGTCTTTTAACCAATAAGTAAAAAACAGAGAATATGTTTAATACTATAATTTTCTTGCTATCATAAAATTGTTATGAGAAATGCTCTAAAAAAAAAAGGCGAGATCCACATATAGCTGAAAAGTTTTAAGCATTTGTAATTGCTTTTTCTTTTTTAAATAGTACGTTTGGACCAACTGAAGGCCTGAATATTGTAAACTATATAGACACTAGAATTTGTTAAACATGGAAGAAAATTTTAAAGGCTTAAGTATTGTTATTGAAAGAAGTAAAAGTCCAAAAGTAAGCAGATTAACAAAAATTGAAAAATAAATTTACAATAATTGTAGTCGAATCATTCGTCTTGACGAAAAAAAAGGGAAGGCAAAGAATACGATTTAAGTATAGAATTCACGAAAATAAAAAACTGCCTATTAAACATTGAAAAACTCCTCTCTGTAATACTGAGAATAGAGAAAAAGAAAAATCAATTTAAACAAAGTATTTAGAAAAGATAAAACAAGCCAGATTGGAACTTTTTCAAATCAGAACAGAAAGTTTAGAAAATCTGCGGGTAAACCGATAAAGCCTAAGTGAGAATGATAATGCGACGTTGTTGGGGATATAGACATCGGAAAGGCCACGAAATTTCAATATCAATCATTAAAATCAGAACTTAACAAAAATGAATCTGTTAATCGTCGCGGCTTACCAACTAAGCATTTTTCTAAAATACAATTATAATTTTTTTAAATAAAACTATTTATAAATTGTTTTTAGTTTTCACTTGGCAGCATTCTCCCAACAGTTTTCCATGTGCCGGGCAGCACTGGCGTTATCAGCAGCTGTTTAAATTACGCGCGGTTGTCTGGCAGCTCTTCCCAAACACTGCTTTCCAACACTGACCAAGCCATTAATAGACGTAAACAAATGGGATGGCAGGTCTCGCCAACAATCAGCTGTTCTTGGTAGCTCAAACAAATTTGACAGCAGTTTTATATTTTTCACTCGTAACTTTATCAATTTAATGACTCTGTGTGTGAGGCAAACAAAATGGAGCGCAAGGAAGTGGACACACAACAGTTCATCGATCACGTAAGTCACCTGAGATTCAAAACAAGCAGTTCTAATCTTTGTATTCTTTAGACACTGCTTGCCTCGGAGCTGGGATTGCGCGACCCAAACAACTTTATAATGGATCTCAATCTGATGGATCACAGTGGTGTGTTTCCCAAAAGCGAAGGACCCACCAATCTCACCACAAATGGCAACAATGCCAACAGCAGCAATGACTATAGCGAGAAGGATGAGCTGAACTTTCACAATTATCTGGTGGATCGAATACGGACGCCCGATCGTAACCGCAGCTATAGCGCTGGCAAAGAGGCAGATGTGGAGTTTCTCACGCTTAACAGCACCTTCCTGTCGGCCGCCACAGCGGCTACAGCATCCGAAGACAACAATGTGTCTGTTCCACAGGCGACAGAATCTCAGCCAGCATTTCCAGCCCTTGCCATTGAAATCGAGCCCACAGTTCCCATTGATGCGGCCACAGGACTACAGGATGATGAGCTCCTCTACGCACACAGTGTGTCCACCACCAATGCTCGCAAAGTGCTGCCACACAAGAAGCGCATCTCACGCAAACTTAAAGGCACGATGTCGAGCATTGAGACGGGCGCGTCCAATGCTAGCGCTGGCTACGACTTGGAGCCCCATAAACATGCCCAGGTGGCGCAGGGTAATGCCGTGCTGTACAGCTGTGAGATTTGTGGCTATGCGGTGCAAACACAATTGGACTTCTTTGCACATCTTAAGCAGCATTATGAGCCCAACACGCTGGAGCAACGCTTCGATGTGCCACAACAGCAGAAGGAACCGCTTGACATGTGTGGTCTGACGGCACAGGATAAGGTGAGCATTAGAGTGATCATCAGAGCCTTCGGCTGTCTTAAAACCAAGCCAAACTACTCCTCCTCCACAGCTCCAACAGGAACAAGCCAAGCTGGATCAGGTCTTTCACGATGTGCAGCTCAATTTCGAGAACTTCCACAATATCGCGCACGTGGACGACGACGATGTGGGTGTTGGTGTCGGCGTCGGTGTGAGTGTTGTGGACGATGTGGGCGTTAATATGGTCATTCATGCCGATGCCATAGCCTTACACAAGCTACCCAGACCGCATGTGGATGAGAAAATGGCGCCCGTTGCCACGCCCTATGTGCCCACTGTGGCGGAGCGTGCTCTGAAGAGTGCGGTGAACGATGTGCCCGTTGTAGACGATGTGGAGTTTAGTGACACGGAGGACATGCTGGAGGGCATACGGAATGTGGTGGATAAAGTCTCCATTGAGGATACCTGCGATGAATTGGATCTAGAGCTGACTTCCTCCGGCATGCGTGCCGCACCTTGGTTCAACAATAACTTCAGTGATATTGCATTTTCCGGACCGCTAAGTCAATTGTTGCTGCCGGGTGAGCCGCCGCCGCCAGCTCCCAGACATGAGACGTCGCCTCTAATTAAATCGAATGCCAGCGATGCGGAGCAACTGACGCTCAATTTTCTCAACACGGCCAAGCGTACGGAATCGGAGGCCAAACTGGAGGCCCACTTGAACATGAAGAAGGACTTCAATGGGCCAAGTAATGAACAGACTTTGTTGGTGGATCCACCACGTTCGCCCACTCCTACCGCGGCAGAGTCCATTGAGCAACTGCAGCGTTCGCCGCTAATGCTAAGTGAATCTTTTAAATTGGAGGATGTGGAAAGCGCGCCACCGCCCTCGTCCCTGAGCCTAAGCGCAGCCAGCGATAGCATGGCACCACCCTCACCCGCCAATTCCTTTTATGATTCCGATGATACCAATGAAGTCGAGCGTCAGAATACGGATGTGGAGGAGTTCGTTGCGAGCAACCCAAGCAAAGCAGCTAAGAAACTGTTTCGTTGCGAAAAATGTGCGAGGGATTTCAATTCGTATAATGCCCTCAAATATCACAACCACACCCACACCCAAGAGCGCGCCCATCAGTGCGAACTCTGTGGACGCTCCTTCTACACGCTAAGCGCGCTGAAGGCACACGAACGGACACGTAAGTAGCCGAAAATGTTTCCTACTGATGTTTGAATGGAATTGCCAAAACACGTTATCCGAGAATTTTCCTTGAGAAATACGCGAAGCTTTCGAAATAGTTCTAGGGAAATAATGGGAATAACAGGAGACATTTTCGAAACTCTGTTCTTATTCATTCTAAAAACAAAAGCCAAATCAAGAACAAACCTAGTATACCCTTAGTATATCGACGAAAAATCTATGCAATCGTATTTCAATTCCACATATTTTGATTAAACTCGAAAACAGGAGATTGGGAAGCTGGAAAACATTTCGTATATTCTCTTTTATAAGAATTTAAAAACTATTTTATTTTCAAATATAGCTGGATAAGAACTATATGATTAATTCTAAAAACAAATGCCAAATCAGGGACAAACCTAGTACACTCCTAGTATATTGACGAAAAATCTATGCAATCATTGAAAGGAGCTGATCGTATTACGCATTTCAATTCCACATATTTTGATTAAACTCGAAAACAGGATAAGAACTATATTTGAAGATAAAATAGTTTTTAAATTCTCATAAATACATATCCAGATATTTAATTTAGTTATAGAGGTCAGAATGTGATGATTTCTAATCTTAAAAAACTTGCAAATAGTTTTTCTGAATAGAAGCATTACGAAATTCGTTTTAAAAATATGATTTTTGGCATAACAGTTTAAGAACTCTTATGTTTGCAATGATATCCAATCGTTTTATTAAGTTTTGGAAAATATCAGAACGGTACAAGCTCTAATCTTAAAACGACAAATATCGATTCAAAATATATTAAACGAATACAAAAATTGGGAAACTGGGAAGAATTTCGTAATTTGAGAGCTAATTAATCTTTTGAGATATTTAATGAATTAGAATTGTAAAGAAGAGCCGTAACTTTATCCTTTCAGATTCTGGCGAGAAGCCCTTTAACTGTGAACAGTGTGAGGCGAAATTTCGTCAATGGGGCGACCTCAAGTACCACATCATATCGCGGCACAGTGAGATCAAAGCCCACATGTGCGAATACTGTGGCAAATCCTTCTCCCGCAGATACTCCCTAGTGGTGCATCGACGCATACACACCAGCGAACGCAATTATAGCTGCGAGCATTGCCACAAATCCTTTCGTGCCAGCTCCTATCTGCTCACCCACATCAAAGTGCATACAGGCGAGAAACCGTATGCCTGCCCGATTTGCGAAAAGAAGTTTCGTGTATCGGGTGATCTGAAGCGACATATTCGGGTGCACGAGCGCCTGCCACAGTCACAGGACGAGACAGCCAGAAAGAAGAAACGCAGCAAAATAAAAGTAAAGGTTGACGACGATAACAACTCTACCACAAAGTCTGAATTGATTTGCGAATCGGAGCAAGAGATTTTAGGATTGTAGCACTGTGCCAAGGTTTCCATTAGTATTATGTAATTTAAATAGCAATTAGATATTTTAATCAGCTCTTAAAACAAAGCGTATTTTACTCGTATAACTCAAAACTAAAAAAATAAAGAAGAACTTTAAAAACGTGATGAAAACAAACCAAGTTTAGTTGAGGAAAATTTTTAAATGGCTTGCTCACACTCGTGGGTAAAAATGAGCAAATTGAGCAACGCGTACTCGCGAACAAAATGTGCACAATTGTTAAAATAGATAAATCGACTAAGTAATTTCACATGGTAACGAAAATGTAGTTCATATTCTTAAGCTGTTTTGAGTTGGGGATAAAATTTACATAATGGATCGACTTTCTAACCGTGTATCGTTAGCCGAAAGGAAAGAAATCGACCCATTTTATAAACCGATAATGGAACCTCTTATCACCAACTTCAGACCTGTACTTTTTACAATGAAGCCAGCGATTGCCTTTTCTTGATATTACAAAATCTTCTGTGTGACAAAATAAAAACATTCTGCGGAAGACTGGGAAATCGACTGGTCGTGGAAGAGAGCTTTTACAAGAGAGGAAATATGAAGCTATACTGAATATATCTGACCTAAATTGGACATCGCAATCCTTCCTAAATAAAATTTGAAAATAGATTAGAGACGAAAAGTTGTCGCAAAGTGCTGAATAGTTAGGTTTCAATGGCCGGGGTGATGTTGCTCACCCTCCCACTTAGGCCTAAGAAGGCCCATTGTGCTGCTATATAATCTCTATATATACATCCATTAATCTTTAGTAAAAGGCAAAGATTTATTCGACAACTGAAGGGCACTTACCTGGGAGAATCCATTTTATAATTCCATTATTAGGAAATTTATTCAGCTATTTCTTGTTTCCGAAATGAAAATCTCTTTTTCTTTTGCTTACTATTGCAGAGCATTTCTTTTACAAGAGAGGAAATATGAAGCTATTCGGAAAAATTGCACATCGCAATCCTTCATAAATAAAATTTGAAAATAGATTAGAGATGAAAATAAGTTTCCCCTGCAGCACTTACCTGAGGAAATCCATTAATTAGTTAACTTTCCGAAATGAAAATCCCTTTTTCTTTTGCTTACTATTGCAGAGCATTTCTTTATTATTTTTAGTTGCTTTCATTCTTTTTTATTTTTTCAAATGTTTCACTTTTTTTCATTGTTTTTCAATTATAATTTCTTCTCTGTCTGTTCTGTTCTCTGTTTTGCACTTGTACCGTTTTCATCGACTTAATTAGTAATCTTTTGTTTACCTCTTCTTTCATTTTAATGAGTAAGTATATATAATATATATATATATATATATTAAATATATATTGTTATTATAATGTAACTATGTACAACACAAGTGTTCTTCTCCTCCGCAATGAAATCTTTGTATCTTGTTTACAACTTCTTTACTCGTTTCATCGTTTCTCTGTTTGTTTCTGTTTGTTCCTTGTTTCAAAATGTGTTTCAAACATATAGTATAATAATATAGCTAAGCAAGATCTTACTCTCCCCTCGTCTTTGTTTGTGTGTGTCTGTGTGTGTGTTTATGTGTGAGTGCTTTTTTTTGTATCCTTTTCAATGTTCTGCTTTGCTTGCGTTTGCGTCTTTAAACTTAAAAACTAAAATCTAGTATGGGTTCGAATCCACTTTCTCGTTAATGTACGCTCAGTCAATGATATCGTTCTTTCTCCATTTATATTATATATGTATATAAAATAATTTGTTTTTGTTTTGTTTGTTTGTTAATTAATTAAAATTAAGAAAACCGCATTCCTAGTACCTTCAACTTCCTTTCCTCCTTCACGATCGATCAGCTTTAGTAACTTGCCTGATTTCTGTCTGTTATTTAAATTTATTATTTTTTTATATTTTTTATGATTTCTTTATTTTCTTTGTTTGTTTGTTTGTTGATGGTGTTTTGGTGGTGTGGGTTATGCTGTTTTGGTAGGTTGTGTTGTTGTTGTTGTTGTTATGAATACATTTGTGAAACAATTCTGTTGTATGTTCTTGTTATTTGAAGCAATGTTTTATGTTTATTTAATGAAAACTTGTTGTTGAAATTAAACGCAACCTTTGTAATTTTTAAACATTTTGCAAAACTAAAACCAGTAGCCACATGGTGGAAAATTTCATTTCAATAAATGAATTAGCTGATAGCGTTTTTCGTAGCGAGGAATTTAAACATCCATAAATCTAGGCTCACTTTTGTGGTTATTTATGATCTTTTCCAACAGAACATTTTGCAAGCTTTTGGAACATTTAGAAATATTTTTAGCAGTTATTTAATTGGAATTCAAAACACACATATTAATGGAAATATAGAACTTCTATATTCGGTTTTGAAACTTTGATAGCAATCATCACATAGAAGATTTCACACACAATCCCATCCCAATCATAGAAATTGAAATTACAGAATTTTTCTCTTCAACTCGAACTGAGTATTGCCGTTTTAATTCTGCATAATCTATTTAAATAAAAAATTTGAAAATCACATACATCTTCGGCATACAACTCGATATTCATGGAAATGTTGAAATTCTTTCTTCACACACAATCCCACCTTGATACAAATTATAGAATTTTTCTCTTCAACTCGAGCTGCCGTTTCAATTCCGCATAGTCTATTTAAATAAAAAATGTGGAAATCGCATATATCTTTGCGGAATTCGGCACACAACTCAATATTGATGGAAATGTTGAAATTCTTTCTTCAACTCGAATTGTATTTGCGAAACCAATTCTACATAATTTATTATTACGCAGAATTCGGCAACCAATTCCATGTTCTGCGGAATTTCCAAAAAATAATTCCATGTGTGATTGAAATATATAAATAATTTGTTTTGAAACTACAGGATATTCCTTTTTAATTCCAAACAATTTACTGAAATTGATACATTTTTGCGTAATTCCGCTGAGCTGAATTTTCAATTCCGCATAGTTTATTAAAATAAAGAAGAAAAATCCATTCCAAAGAACACAAATTTCATCAAACAATTTGTGTTTCAAATTTTATTAGAAAGGTAAAAAGCGATTTCATCATCTTTTCTCCTCGAGGCTCTTTTGCGGAATTGTTATTACAAATGACTGAGGTTTTCAATTGCAAAAGCTTACTTTCTTTAAATTCCTTGAGTCTCTAGTAGCACTATACGTATGCGGAATTGACTGGCTAAGTTTTTACTTTAGGAAAATGTTTTTAAATGCTGCTTGCTTTGTTTGAAATACTTTTGAGAAATTAAATGGCAGGCATTTTACATTTGTAAAAGGTTCGTTGATGCGAACACATCTCTTATAGAAATCTCTTGAATAATTAAATGGCTAGGGTTTTACATTTGCAAAAGATTCGGATCTGTAAATGTTGCTTGCTTCGGAGTGAACTTAAATTTTGGTTGCTTCGCTTTTAAATATGTTTAAAAATTAGTTTTACTGTAAATACTTGCGTATTGCTTTCTTCTTTTTTCGTTCCCTCTGTGTATTTTTGTATATATAATTAATGTTTTAAAAAAACTGATGCTTGCTCTATGGTTGCTGCACACAATTTTAAATATGTCTTCTCTTTTGTTTTTAATTTAAGTTTAATGGGTATTTTGTTTGGGGGAGGGTGGTTGTTAGGAGGATATTTAATATTACGCGCTTGCAAAAGTTGCCAATTTGTTTTTAATTAATTGGTTATTAATTGTTGCGTTTGTTTTTATTGCCTTCTAAATGAGAGTTGAATTGCAAATTTTTGTTATTTATTTTGTTTGGTTTTCTTTTTGTTTGTAGTTGATGGCAGCTTTTTGGTTTTAAAACCTTATAGAACAGATTTCAAATCAAGTTTCCAACAATTGTTTAGCTTGCTAGTTTCAATTGTTTAACTGCTTTGCAACTGTTTTTTTGTTTTTTAAAACTACAGTTTTGTGTTTGCTGTTTCCATACAAAAGTTATTACATATCTTTGTTTTAGTTTTGTTTGTTTGTTGCTTTTTTGCGTGTGTGTGTGTGTGTTTGTTGTTGCTATTGTTGCTTCACATTTTAATTCTGTTTAATGCTTTTCGTCCCAAGTGTTTGCTACGCTATTGATTTACGCCCGCTGCTGCTCCCACAAACCGTTTTACATACTTAATTGCCATCCAATTATAGTTAATAGAAATATAATTTTGTTTTGTTGCTGGCTGCCTGCCGCTGCTGTCTTCCTCCCATTGCTTTCTTCTTGTTTTTCTTTTACTGTAAAAGTTTTTTCTTTCAATGCTGAGTCTTCTGCTTCATCACCGTTTGCGTTTTTCTGTTCCTTTTTTTTATGCTATTTCAATATTTTCGCTTTTTTTCGTTTCTTTTTTCCTTAGTTTTGTATTGCCTTGCTACAAACATTTAAAAAATTCAAATACAATACATAAAATTTTCACTGTGACAAATTGCCTTTTTGTTTTCAATTGTTTTTTCATCGTTTTTGTTCATTCAAATTCTCAATATTTACAAGTTCGTACATATACACATACATATGCTATATATATATACATATATAGACTACGGCTTAAATCTTGTTGTGGCTTTACAGAATCGCTGCTCAGAACTATAGCTGTTAGACATCTCGTATTTTCCTGCTCCTCATAGTTTTTAAAATTGTGAAAAAATAGCTGCTTTCTATGGGTTAATAGATGTTTGTTTGCTGATTTTGCATTTGGTATTAAGTATTCGCGTTCTTCTCTCTTTTTTTCTTTTTTAGATTGATAAAATTGGAGATTTTGTGTGTGTGGTTGTTTGTTGTTTATACAATAATTTGATTTGATGATATTTTGTTGTTGTTAGTGTTTAGTTTATTGTAGGGTTTGCGTGTCATACTTTGTTGGTTTGTTCAACAGTTTGTTTATTTTTTAGCAATTGGAAGTTTTGAAAGCTTCTTCATTGCTTGAGCAGCGCCGCTTTTAAGGTACTCATACTGTTCTTGTTGTTGTTGTTGTTGGTGTTTACAGCTTGCAGTTGTTGTTGTTGTTGTTGTATAAAAAGTCTTTGATTCGCCTTTTACTTTTGCCGTTAGCCGTTAGCGCGCTCTACATTAGAGACTCACCTGCTGCATCTTATCAAAATCTAAACACGGCCGATGCGGTCGCTGCAGTCTCTGTGTGGCAGCGGCGGCGGCGGCGGCAACATTCACATTGGCAGAGGCAGCATTATTTGTCGTTGTTGATGATGTTGTTGTTGTTGCACCGGTTGGAGCCGAGACGATGCCACCACCAGTGGCATTATTGCTCGGACGCCGACGCGGCGACACTGCACAATGGAATAATTTCGCGGGCGGACTAACCGATCGTACCTCCATATTATCCAATCCAGTGGTGGAGGCCGGACTACTGCGTGAACTATTATAATGGAAACTGTATTTGGGCTGCGGCTGGTAGATGTGATGACTGCTGTTGCTCATTTTCAGCGAGCTGCTGCACGCCTTAATCACACTGGGCTCGTTCTCATTTCCCACACCCAGTTTGGCGCACTTGCTGTTGTTGGTGTTGCTGCTGCCGCCTCCGCCACCAATGGGCATCGCAATGCCTGTGGCGCCTGTGCCACTAACATTGACAGTGCCACTGCCACTGCCGCTGCCGCCGGTATCGCCATTCTCCTCGTTTACACTATTATCACATAATTTAATATTTTCGATGCCACATCTGGCCTCCGATAATATCAGTGGCGTTGTGGAGCGGAACATCATATGGCTACGATTTGGCTTAAATGCCTCCAATGGCGGCGATGTGCGAAAATTCACGGGCGTCGATATGGGCTCCTGTGAGTTGCGTAGCTACAACAACAACAAAGAAGTGGTTAACAATTTGTGAAAACATTACACAGTCGAAGTTCTCTATAATAGAGCTTTAGTTAACAAAACTCTCAACAACAGAAATGAGAAAGAAACGCTAAAACGAATTGCAGAAACAGATATAGTTGGAATAACTCAGGATCTGTCCGATCTTAACTAAGCTGACTACGATCTATCGTACTGGACATGAGTTCAGCAAACTAAAAGTCCCTCAAGAGATTTTCTATAAAATCGGAAAACAAAACTCTAGTAGAGATGTTTTTTATTAGTTTTATTTACATTGTTTTTAAAAGCCACAATATTAAAGGAGAACTCCGAATGATTTATATCTTACAAAAATTTTGAAAGTAATTACAACATTCTTTTTAGAAGCCACCATATTGTAGAAGAGTTTAAATGAACCAAACCTGACAAATACATTAATTTATTTTAATTGGAATAAGACAACGGAATAAGAACATTTATATCTCTATTTCGAAATTTAATTTCAAAAGCTATTTAGCAAATTATAATTCATATGCTATAGCAAGAAAATGTATTATATATATATATATAATACGACTCTCTTCTCATTCCCAGAACAAACGTCTTTTTAGCATTATCTTGTCGATAACTCTGTTTCCAATATATTAGAAGCAATCTATTTTTTAAAAAACCCTTCCAATAATTAAAATCAATACCTAAATAAATACGGCAGGGATCCTATCTCACCTTAACAATTATTTTATAAATTCTTTTCAAGCTATACTTAAACAAAACTAGTTGTTTTTGGATATTCCTTGAAACACTTCCACTTTTAAGCGAATGTCTTTACATTTCTGAACACTGTTTATAGAGAAATTCGATTGCATTATTTTGGGCATAATACTCACCTCATCATCAGAGCTATGGGCCAACGAACGCTTGCGATTTTCCACCATTAGCGTTGAGCTCGAGCGTTTCGAATTCGAGGTGGTCGCACGCTCATCGTATAACTCCTCAGCGCCCAGAGACGATGTGCAGCCCCTGTTGGATAAACGTGATGTGGACGATGCCGTGGCAGCTGCCTCGGCTGCGGCCACTGCCGAGGGACCATTGATCACTTCGAGTTCCTCCTCCGAGCTATGCTGGTCGTACATGAGATGGGCGCAGGATGTTGACGTCTGATGGTGACACATCATTGCAGCGGTAACTGCAGCAGTAGCATTGACAGAAGACTCGGATGAGCATGCAGTATCGGTTGTAGGTGAGTTCGCATCCGTGCAGGAACTCAAGCCTTTTTTGGAAAAAAGTGTAAAATTATTAATAAAAAACAATTTCTTTGGATAGTATGTAGAGGAGAATTATTACCTCCAAGGGGAGGCTTTCCAGATATCTTTTAGTTTACATGCATCCTGCAATCGGTAGCTATTACAAATTCTACAAAATTGTTCACCAAAGGTCTATTTATAAACAGTTCTACCTAATTGTAATTAACATAACTATATTCAAAATCGGTTCCAAAAAACAGTTCTACCTAATTGTAAATAATACAACATTATTCTGTCTATATACATATGTATAGAAAGTATAACTTAGTTTCAAAATCGGTTCCACAAGTTTCTTACTTCAGAGATCCAATCAAAATATCGTATATTGATGCTCAGTCGAATTGAAATTATAGAAATTCAATTAATTTCAGGGAAAATTTAATTATTTACAGAAAAATTGAACAAGAGACGAAAATATACTTTATACTATTTTACAATGATTTGCTAATTAGAACTAAAAGGAAATACAAAAAGAAATTCGAACAAATTGGAAGTCTGGTCCCCTAAATACAAAATTCCAATCAAATAAATAGTAAATAAAGTAAGTTAATGATAATTATATGCACTATTGTGCTTTAAAATATATATAAAATGGCTCACAAAAAATTTAAGAGAAAATTCAATTTGGAACAGTACTACAAGTACAACTTTCAATTTCTCGGCTTTTAATCGTGTACTTTTATATCCGATACCACCCAATTGAAATTGAGGATTAACTCTGCAAGTTGTTTCAAAGAATGCCAATTGGAATCATCGAATAAACATGTTAAGAGTTGACCGGAATTCTTAAAACGCAATTATTACCAAAGACCTCAATTGGAACTGAGGATATACTGTTTCAAAGAATGAATGAAAACACGAATTAACATGTTAAGAATTGACAGGAATTCTTAAAGCGGAATTTAAAAATGAGAATTAAATTTGAAATAGTACAATAATGTTCATTCCCTCTGTGTCTAATCTGTTATTTATAAATCCTGAACACACAATTGGAATTAAAAATCGGTTCTATAAGTTGTTTGCAAGAGATCTAATAGGAAGGCAAAATCGAATGAGACTAAATTAGCGCTCTTTCAAATGGAAATGCAATGTCAATCAGTTCCATACCGGCTTCTAATAGAAAACCTCAATAACCTTAGCATATTTGAATTAAATTCCTCACTTACTAGTTTCCATATCCACGTCTAAGTGACGTTGTTTTTCCACGTCCAGGAGTTCACCATCAGATTCGGTGCCAGAGTCATTCGATTCACGCTACAAAATTCAAAGATATGGGGGATATTAGTTATTGGCCCGAATGGGATAGATGCTGTTTAAAATATCAACAAAACTATAGCAACAATAATATACTACATACATATGTAGATAATGATATCTCATTCATGAGCGCACCTACTTAAGCCTTCTTCTCTCACCTTTTTACGCAGAAAATTTTTCGATGCCTCGCGATTTTTCTGCCTGACAAACTTTATCATGATTTTTTGCTGTATGCTTTGTTTTATTTATTATGTATTCCACATACAGAAACTCGCGCACGCACACCATTCCAATTGGCACACACGCGCGCCTCCTACCTTCTCTGGTCAACCGCGTGCCCCCTCCCTTCTTCTACAACACACACGTTGCACCCACGTTTCAAACTTACTACGACGACAACTGCGACGTCGGCGTCGGCGTTAGCGTTAACGTTGCTGGCGACGTCGACGTTAGCAACATACGTTGCGTGCCTCTTTTATGTATGTTTTGGCTGGTTTGCTGCTTGCATGCTGCTTCTACTACTATTACTACTCTGATACTTTTTGTGCTGTTACGTTTTACACGCTGTTTCTATTTATTCGCCAACTGCATGTATTTTTGTTTGTTATTTTTTGCTATGCTTCTGCTTCCTGATTCTCAGTGCTCCCAAAATATAGCTCTCACTCTCTCTCTCCCGCTCTCTCACTACGCCGATGTGCGCGTGTAAGCGCCGTTTCCCTTTTGTGCAATAATTTCAATCACGTTTCGGGCTTGCTTGCACGCGGCATTTGTTGTAATCTGCGCCCGTTCTGCCGCCACCCAAACAACGACGATTTCGGATTTTCACATTCTGCATGCATGTATGTATGGATGTGTGTGTGTTGGCTTTTGTGTTGGCTTCGTGGTCAGAAACGAACAAGAACGAACACGAGCGCACCTTTCGCCGTAACTTATACAGCACGGAATTATTGATTTTCATATAACGGAAGCTAAAGCTCTGCGTGTGTGCTTCAACAGGACAACGACAACGACGACGATTACGATGACGACGGAGACAACCCGACCCCAGACAGCGTGTGCGGCAATGTTGCACAGTCCAAAATCGCAAGAGTTTCCATCAATTTTTCACAGAATGTTGTCCGGCTTTTGGTTTTCTGTGCGTGTCTTCTCCTTTTCTTTTATTGCATTATTTCTCTGCCACATTGATTGACGTTTGCATTTAATTTGTGCGTAAGACAATTTTTATTTGCACATACACACACACACACACACGCACACTCACTCACATACATATGAATGTATGTTGTATGTATGTATGTACATATGTATTTTACAACTCGCCGATTTATTACTACAATATTACTATCACCCGTCACCGGCTAGCGCAGCGCTCAAACTGAAAAATTATGGCCACATTGTGGCAAGGCACGACACACTCGTAGCAAAAATCTGCGCCGCCGCTGCTCTCACTTGCAGTTTCTGCTGCGCTAGTGTGTGGGAGCATGCGAACGACGTGCACTGGAGTACATATACAGACATACATACATATGTATGCACGTGTGTATGGATGCATGTGTGTGTGTGTTTGTAAAAATGACATCGTTGTAGTTGTGCGCAAACTCGTGCCTTCGTGGAAATGCAACGAGCCAGCAGCCGCAGCAGCGCGTAGTATATAGTATTTATGGGCAGCAGCAGCGCTAGAGATGAGCAACCAGCGACAAATTCAGGAAAATAATAAAGGGATTAGTTGAGCGGAAAACTGAATTATAATTAATTAAAATACATGAATGGATTTGCAGTGCGCAACAATAAAAAACGGCCGACATCAAAACAAATCAACACTTTAAATTAGTTAATTAATTTAAATGCAATTTAACATATGAAAGATACTTAATATGAGAATCTCCAAAGTAGGTGGTGCAAAATAAAAAATTTTGTCGTGTTTAGTTTTTAAAAACCTCACCTTTTTTTTAAAGTTGATTGTATTTTATTTTTTGTGAATTTATTAATGAAAGTTATTGAATGAATGTGAAAAGAATAATATATTTTGCGCAACCCCTGAATAAAATGGCATGAATAGACAAAATAATTAAACCCTTAGATGAGAATCGCAGAGAATACGAAAATCCCCATTTCATTTATACAATTTTAACAATAATGCAATGAGAATCGCAGATGACAGTTAAATTATTTATTATATTTGAAACTCAATTTGGAGTCTATCGAAGGTGTGTTTACCGGTGGTGGCTTCCACCCGCGGACACCCGCTAGATAAGAACTATATAACAATGTTTTCATAGAAAATTTTAAATTCATTTTTCAGCAGCATGACTCCATGAAATACGGAAATAAAAGGAGGGAAAATATATTAGAGATGTGAAGCCTCAACAAGAAATCATGATATACATATGTATATTTTTTTAAACTCAAAGGAACTGTATTCCTATAAATAAACTCGAATTCAAAACAATGTAAAAGAATAATAAAGCAAAGCAATAGACAAAACAAATTCCAAAAAAGACAACAAAATAAGTAATTAAAGTCTGACATTCCATATATTACCTATTGGGTAAGAGACTAAGATATTGCTACCACCTTCATAGAAAATTTAGTATAATAAAATAAATAAAATCTATATATTTTTAAACACGAAGAAACTGGATTCCTATAAATGAACTCGAACTCAACACAAATGTAAAAGAATAATAAAGCAAAGCAATAAACAAAACAAATATCAAAATACGACAAAATATATAATTAAAGTTAGAAATACCATCGCTAAGGTACTTGGTATGAGAATCGCAGAGGAGGGCCACCATATGATGTTTCCAATTGTCAGCCCTGACTAAGTACATGAATGTTGTCCATCCCTAGCAGCAGCTACAGTTTGTGAACAGCTAGGGGGCGCTGCGGAGTGCTGGTTACGGCTTAGCCCCAGCGTCGTCACCATCGTCGTTGTTGTTGTTGTTGTCGGTCTCATGTAGTAATAGGCCGCGCGCAATGCAAAAAAGCGTGCGAAACGAGTTGGCCGATGGCTGGCTGGCGCTGATATGAGAAATTGTTTGGGGCAGCAAAATATAAAAAAGCAACAACAAATCCAATGTGGAAACATGAAAAACTACGCGCAACACGCACGCCAACACACATACTTACATATGTATGTATGTACACATTGAACACATTGAATTGAAAGTAGATGCTGTTTTTTCTTGCAATTGCCTAGTCTTAATTTTTTATACCCTGTACCCAAAGGGTACAAGGGTATATTAGTTTTGTGCGAGTGCACATGGAACACACAGAAGGAGGCTTGGTAGACCCCACAAAGTATATATATTCTTGATCAGCATGACAAGCCGAGTCGATATAGCCATGTCCGTCTGTCCGTCTGTCCGTCTGACCGTCTGTCCGTCTGTCTGTCCGTCTGTCTGTCCGTCTGTCTGTCTGTATGAACGCAAGGATCTCCGAAAGTATAAGAGCTAGAATAACCAAACTTGGTATACAGATTCTCCTGAGACCGAGAAAGGACGAGTTTGTTCATTTTTTCTGATCCACCCCCCTACTCCCCCCCTATTCAAGATTTTCTATAACTCCCGTAATTCTTGGAATTTTGAACTAAAATTTGGTAGTCACATTAGGTTAGTAATTATATATCCGTATACCAAGTTTCATTATGAAAGAATGATCAGAAAGAAAGTTATAGCCATATAACCAGGCCCAATGCACACATACATACATATGTACAAGTACTCAAACACGCATAAGGCACGATTCTGATGTAAATGTAAATGTATCTATGCATGCATGAAATATTTTATATTTAATTTAGTTAATTAATTAAATTAATTTAGTTAATTAATTAAATTAAATTAATTAATTAATTTAATTTAATTAATTTAATTACTTTTTTGTGGGGTGGTACAGGGTATTTAAGAGTTGAGCCTGCTCGACTTTAGCATTCCTTTCTTGTTTTTTTAATTTGTTAAAGCACATTGCACGCCGTGTTGTGCAATTGCAACAACAGTTTTTTCCTTTCGTGGTTTGTTTTAAGTATGTACATATGTATGTACTAATGCTGAGCTTTCAATCGGATTCAATTTGCTTTCAATTTACGCGGAAAATACTACGACGATTGTGACGCAGCAGCAGCAACTCTGCCGCCTACACACACTCGCACACACACACACACACATAAACAGAAATAAACAACACCAATACAGTGCCAAAAAGGGGCAGGCAGCAAACGTAAACGACTTTGCAGCATTTATCCGTGTGCCACAGGATCCCTACCCACAATACCACCACTCATGATTACCGATTCCAGCCAAGTAAACGCTGCTGCTGCGGCTGCTGCTGCAGCGCCAACGACGTCGCAGCGCCAAGTACTTTTGTTCCATTCATATCACACACACACACACACATATGCATATGTATGCATGTATGTGAATATTGTGGATGATAGAATTGGTCTGACGTGTGCATGTGCGCTCGGTGTGGGTGTATGTGGGGGGGACACTGTGCAGCCTTGCTGGCTTCAAGTCTATATTTAGCTTAGCACTTGCACTGCAACTCCATTTCCTTCATTCTTTTTTTTTTGCAGTCTGAGATTTTTTCGTTATTCCAAAAACTGTATATTATGCACACACACATACACATATAAAACAGTTGAGGCACGCACTTGCAGTAGACATAAGGACGCGTGCTGCACGCAACATTACAGCGTAAAATAAAAAATAAAATTTAAAAAATAAACCGTTAACACATTTCTCTCTCTCTCTCTTTTGCTCTTTAGAGCATGAACAAACAAACAAAACGTACTGCTTACTTGTGCAAAAATTACGAAACGTTGCTGTTGTTTTTCTTTTTTTCTCCGTTTGCTGGCTGTTTGCTGCAACAACAACTAATGTATCCTTACGCGCTGCCTTGTCCAACAAACAACAGCAACGAGTGACGAACGATGAATGGCTGGCCGTACTACAATGTATGTATGTAGGAAGCAGAGCTGGCAGCCGCGCAAACAGCACAGACAGCGACTGAAGCAAGCATTTAGCATGGTAAATAAATCCAAGGTTTGACAATATGAGCTGACATTTCTTTACTCTCACTGCGCAGGTATGTCATAATATGTGTCGCTGTAACCAGCAAGTGGTAGTACAGCTTAGCTGCTTTATTATTTACATTTTTATTCGATTTACTGGAAGGCCGCTGCCAATAGGCAATAATCTGGCACTAACTCAAAAAATTTTCATACTTTCAAGCCTCACGTTCCACAAATGGGAACATTTTTCCGGCGCATATGATTATACCATATTGTGACGTCACTCAAAAGAGCACGTCATCTAACAGACCCACGCAAAGTCACACATTGTGGCTCTTTTGTACCATGAGTATTCAGCGGCAGGAGTTTGTGGGGTGTTGTTGTTGCTGTTATTGTTGGAGCACGCGACGCGTTTTGGAGAATTGACAAAACATAAGAGCGAGAATAGCACGCACACATATGTACATATTTGTACATACGACATATATTATACATATGCATATGTATTTGTGTGTGTGGGCTGCTGTTGTAATTGTTTTACGTACGCCAACAACAATAACAACAAGTATAATAAAAATTCGCTAGCGACGACGACAATATTTATTCGTTGATATGGGCATGGGCCGGCTTTTTTCGCCCCAACACCACGCGGCCACAAAGTATAATTTGAAAACATTGAAATATTATAAATAATTTGTTTCCAAATGATGTGAAACAGGTACCCTGCTGTGCACGTTGGGCCACGAACAAAAACACAATCCATACCCACCTCTAGCTGAGATGCTGTCTATTACTTTTCGCATGCTCCAAAATAAAAGAACACCAATTTGTGACGTGCGCTCTCCCATCTATCACTCTCACTCTCTCGCTCTCTCTCCCCCATTCTTTCATTCTTTCTTGTGCGCTCTTTGGTCATAGTGTTTGTTTGTGCGTGTTTGGCATTAAGTTAAACCCAATAAACATTTTATACTTACATACACACATACATACATATGTACATACATACATACATCTAATGCAATTAACTTTTCAATGTCAAGTCGCATGCGTGCGACACACAAAAGTTAAATAAAGCCTGTTTGGTGTTTTTATATTATTGTACATATGTACATATATTTTTGCAAAGACCTCAGCTTAATAGAAGTAGTTTCTTTTCAAATTTAAAACAAATAGTATAGTAAAATTATAATGTTAGCGGCAAGGGAGAACTTTTTTGCAACTTACGACCGTTTTGTTTGCTTTATTCTATGCTTCTCATCAGCCCATGGTTTGTGAATGTGTGTGTTTGGCGATAGCAGTATTTACGATCTTTTTGTTATTTTCCACCGTTGGTACTTTTTAAAATTCAATTGTTTCACATTTAATAACGCAAACAAATTAATGGCCCGTGCCGTAAGCGGCGACTCTCGTCACAAACAACCACACAAATCGAGCGCGCGTTGAGGTCTGATAAAAACTGTGACATAAAGGGAACACAGAAAACAGCTGAGTGAATGTGTGTGCGTGCCGCCCCCCTCTCACACATTAACGCAAAACACACACACAAGTGCCTGCTCCAGCAGAAAAGAGCAAACCGCAATTACGCCATGTTGTGACGTAAAAAGAGACTCTGTTCGTGTGGCGCTGCCACATTGGTAGAAAAACGTTGGGGATTTTAAAATTATAGAAAAGGCAGTTAAGAAAATAATTTTTAAGCCAGATGTTACATTATTTTTAATTTATATTTAATTTAATTTTGTTCATTATCGATACAGACATACAGTTATACAGTTATGTATATACAACAATAATTAATGCTAATTCGTTTTTTTGCGCTCGTTTTGTTTTGTTTTCGTTATAACTAATGGATGGAATGCTTTAAGTTTTCTACATAAAACAACGTGGGGATGTTCGTCGCATACATAATCTCGATTAAAAAGTATTTAATGAAAACTAAAAATAATTACGAAACGAAATTGAGTGATGTGCGGGGATGGGTGGCATATCGGGAAATTAAAGAATAATACCCGTCCGTACCAACCAATGAAACATTTACATGGCCGTCTCAAGTGGTTGACTGTGACTGCGACCGTTCGTCTGCAGCGGCAATAGCCCCCCACCGCCATCCGAGTCGAAATCTGTCTCGAGGAGCGCCTCCGATTTGGAGCGATGATAGGGATTTACGACCCCAGCCAGTGGTGGCGGCGTTGTGGGCGAGGCATCCTGGGATGCCGTTTGATAAACAGTCTTTGGACGCGCTGTGTTCACGGGTGGGGAGCGCTGCTTCGGCTTCGGCTTTGGCGATGGCACCGCCGGTGGCTGTGCCAATGGTCTGGGCGTCCGATAATGCGATGTGGGCGCCTTGCTGCTGCGTACGGCCGTATAATAGGAGTCCGGACGGCGCATATCCGCCGGCTGCGGCGTCGGAGTGGCAGGTGCTTTGCGGTAAAGCGATGTCTCCGACCGCTCCGATACGGGCGCCGAGTAATTAAATTGATCAATTTTTTGTTCAAAGGGCAGGGAATCTCCGCTATTGCGTTGAGGCATAAAGCTGCTATGGGATGAGCGCTGATAATCCGGCAGATTCTGTTTGAGTTCATTTAAAAAGGCCAGGCCGATGCCAGCACCACCAGCACTACTACTGCTAGTGCCTGTGCCCGTGCGTAGCGGCAACGTGCTGGCATTTCCATAGTAATCCGAGCCGATTTCCTCGGCATCGGTGTGATGTATAATTGGTGTGTCCTCGGCCACACTAGTGCTAATCGAATTCTGGCGTGTGCCACCGCCATAGGTGGAATTATCACGGAAGCCCTCGTTGCGGTAGCTTAACTCAAAGGCGTCGGGTTCCAGAGTAGCAGCAGCGGCGCGTGCCCGATGACCGGTGCCTTTCGATATGGTCGCCACCTTGTGCGGAGTGTGCTGTGGCTCGTGGGCCGGGCGCAGAGCATTCTGATTCACATACTCATTGTAGTGGGGCTTCTGCTCGTAACCCTCAAAGCTTCCGTCTAAGCTCAGAGCACTTTTGTCCATGGAATCGATGGAGCCATTAGCCATCATCTGTTTGTAGTCTTGACTTTTCGAGAGTGTGCCATTGGAGGACATGTTCTACGTTTTTATAATAAACAGAACAACAAAACATAAAAGAAAAGAAAACCAACAAAATTAAAATCAAATTAGGGTCAAATCAGATGGGATTAAAGAAAAAGTAAGAAACAAATCATACATAATTGCGACGTCGCAGCGAACCCTGTGGGTCGATGCTGTTCAGACTCCGCAAGCTCTGGCGAATGCTATTGCGACGCTGCAGACGCTGGACATGGCGATGTTTGGATTTGGCAAACCAGCAGAATGCCACCAAAATGAGCAAAATAATGGCCAGAACAAAGGCAGAAATAATACTGATGGCAAAAATGTCGGCTCGCCATGACAGAGGATCGATAATCACCTAAAAGGAGGAAAACAGGCAATGAACAAAAAATTCGAAAAGCGACGAACAAATCTGGAGCTTACTCTCGGATCCATTTCGCATATGAAACCACGCTCTTTGCGACAATCTTCCAACTCTATTTCACCAAAAACGAAACTTGTACAACGCTCAATGTGATTGTAGTCCTGTATCCAGACTTTCTCGGGATACTTCAAGTGTCGCATCTGACTCTGCAGATATTTCCACAATGTGGTGCTGTCTGTGCGTATAAAGGGCATGGTGGAGTTCTCCGAGCGACAGAAATCACGCGCTTCATGGAAGGTCATGGGTGCGCCAACATAAATAAAACAGGTATCTTTGACCAGCCCCCACCCCGGTGGACATTTGCCATCCAAAATAGTTTCGTTGTTCATTTGGAAAGGCATTGCCTGCACCTCTAACAGCATTGGATCATCTTCAAAAAGAATCATATTAAAAGATTGCTCTTGAAGTAACAATATATCGAAGCTTACCCGACTTGTCTCTTATGCGTGACTGCACTGATATCGTATTGTTGTAGCTCCAGTAATTATGACGGGCATCGATCTTGGAGCTCCATAATTCAAAGGTCCTACATAGATGATTTAAATCATGTTAAATATATATCTATATAGAGTCTAGCTTTGAATAGGCTTACCTGTTTTCATAGTCAAAGCTCAAACTACAAGTATTGAGAAAAAAGCATGCCCAGAAATAAATAAATAGGGGGATATGTTTAAATTATTAGAACATACTACAGACTAAATGAAAGGAGTTTATGGGAACTACAATGTTACACTACAATTACTAAAATAAAAAGGAAGCTAAGTATAAACTCCTTAGTTCTCAGATATTAAGATATTTACATGGAATTGTTGACGGTCAGGAGCTCGTAGTCGTTCTCAAAGTTCTCAAAAATATTATCCACATATTGTTGGCCCGCAGTTCCCGCAACGATGGTCGCTCGAGACATCCAATTGGTGGCAAAGTTGCTACAAAAGACCAACGCATTAGCAATGTACAAGTAAAGCTCAAATGATAAATCAGAGTGGACTTACTTATAGAAACCATTATGTGCAGTTGTCTGATAGATTTGTAGACGCACTTTCTCAAAACCAGAAACCTCCATAATGTGACTGCCCATATTGCTGTGGACATAATTGTAACTAAAGTTGGAAACTACTTGGCACAAACGTATAACATCCTCATAGCCAGCTCTGTTTTGGGCGAAATAGTTGCGATAGAGCTCGACCTCTTGATACGGCGACGATTGTCGACCCTCCACAAACAGGGCGGGTCGATTGCGATTTCGCATGAAGAGATTGTGATGCACATAGCCGCGCAAAGAGGTTGCTGTGCCACGGGAATCGGCACGAATACGCAGACCTCCCTGATTCTCCAACAAGAGGTTGTTCTGAAGAGAAAGAAAAGTTGAGTTGAGTAGCTAGATAATTATTTTGTTTATAGCGTCTAACCATAAAGTACAACGAGTTCATGTTCTGCACATCCAGGTTAAGCGCCGATTCACAGGTTGAAAAATTGCCGTAAAGCTGTTTACAATTCCGTTCGATGCGATTACCTATAAGCGTTAGGGTGGGCGTCACTTCACCCGCTGAGGCATACGTAACCGCACCCTTCATGGCGCCCGAAATGTGCGTGTGCGTGATATTGTGCTGTGCATCGCGATCTATTGAGTGAAGAAACTACAATATTAGTACCGAAAATTTGGGGTTTTGTGCCGCTTACTCACATTGGCCCAACGTTGAAATAGGCACGGTGACCACCTCAGCTATAAATCCATGCGTTTCAGGTGCCCCGCTGGCGACGAGCTGTAAGCTCATCGTTGGCCCCTTAGTCTTAAAGAACGAACGTTGATTATCCGTATCCGATTCAATTTTTCCCAAATATGTGGCAGTGACATTATAGATATCGCCATCATAGAGGCGTATAAAATCGGTGCGACCATACAGCTTTGAGTGATTAAACAGATTCGACTGCAGCAAACGAAAGCCTATGGGCTTGGCCCGAAAAGCTGATGTAAAGATCTTGACACAATTCACAGGATTGTTGTCGTACTTGTAGTAAACCAGCATGCGCTCTTCAATGGTTAGAACCTTTTGAGGATCACAAATGTCCACCAGCGAGAATAGTTTATAGGGTATATCGAGTTTTTTGAGCGGTGTAAAGCTCGATTCATCGCTATCGCGTCCCTCACCGCTCAGTGAGAGTATGCTTATGCCCGTTCCCAACGTATTGCTGACGTTTAAGTTGTTAAGATTCAGTTTGCCACTGGGTGCTATTAAATTGAGGCCATGGTTGGCCGAATTCGTAATGCTCACAGAGGTAATTGACGGGTTCTTATGTATAGCCTGTATGGCGGCAGCTTTGTGATTATGCAGAATGCCTGCCTGCTCGATGCGCACAAATTCAAGCTGACTGTCGCGCTGTATTTGGGATCCATGGGAGCGTGTGTTGTGCATGCGATGCTGGTATTGAATCTCTTCAAACTTGGAGCTAGCAAAGCGTATGCCACCCCAGTACACCTCATCATCGGCCACACCATTACAACTCACAAACACGAAGACATCATCCCAGCGACATTCGTGACGATGGCCGTAGAGCTGTCCGTTCAAGCGTTCCGCACAGTCCTCCATGCGCTCCTCATCGCCACGACACTCCAGTGGCTGCACCCAGGACCAGATGCGAGTAAGCGAATTTGTGTGAAACTCAATGCGTCGGTCGTGACCGTAATAGACATTTAACGGATCAAAGCCCAGTTCGCGGCACACAACCTGCGCATTACGCTCGGTGAAGCGACTATCGCAAATGGGCACCCATTGAAGTGTCGTGTGATTGAAGTACTCCAGAAATCCTTCGTTCAGTCCATTGACGCCATCTGCATCGTCTGTGCAGTTGCTGGCACTGGTGCACAGACGTATGGAATCGAAGTCCGTCAGAGCCGCACTCATATCCTCAATGGCGCGCTTGCGTGGCGGTGGTGCCAGCACTAAGGATTCCTTTGTGCTATTCTTAAATGGTCGCATGACAATCTCTGACTCCTTATAGCCAATGGCAGTAAGCGTGCCCAGCACCAGTATGCCCACATTGGGTTCAAACTCCATGGTTACACCATGCTGAATTGTCAAAACCACGCCGGGCATGATGGTTATATCCGAGGATATGTAATAGGGATTGCTCTGCTTGCGTAATGTGAAGTCCCTATAGATACGCCCACCGTGGTATGAACTCAAATCGAGCTGTTCATTAAGAGGCGAAACGACGCTAACACTAGCATCGTAGGTATCCTCAATCAAGAAGGGTTGATAGATCACATCCGCATGGTCATTCCACTTGTCGAAGCCAAAGATCTTCGACTCGATGTACTGCGGATCTTTGGAGCCCCACCAGTTCTCTGTGGCCTGGAAGTAGTTGTTTAGACGCGCCGATCGTACGCCAGCTACTAAATTGTAGTCCATATCATTGTCGGCTATCAGGTTGCGATAGAGCTTTACATTTTGAACGCCATCCAGGCGTATTACCGCTGTGGGTATTTTGTTCTGCTTTCGCAGACGCCTTGACGCTTTCATATAATGACGATAATCCGATACCATAGTCACGATGCTATTACGTTTAAAGGTGTTATATTCAATGGAGGCCGGCACCTGTCCAATAATCTCACTCAAACTATCGGCCTTAAGCAACAGCACAAACTTGGCGTTGTTGCCCTCGAAGCGATTGTTGTCGAACCTCAATCTCTTCTCCATGCCATCCAGAGAAATCAAAGAGCCTGGACAATTGTTCTCCACAAAAACATTTGAGGTTATGTTGAATACGGCATAATGTCCGTAGACGCCAATGTGGAAGTTGCGATTGCGCTGCCAGGTGCTATTCCCAAAGTAAATGCTGTGCGTAAAGTTTTCATTGTATTGCCAAACATAGGGCAGAGCGACTTGGAAACCACCGTGCGAATTCTGTTCCACGGTCGTATCCTGGAGCACATAATGAAAGAGATTGTTCGAAGAGCGCAGGTCCTTTGACAACTGTCTTATGCCAAACCCATTCTGGGTGATAAGTGACCCATTGATGTGGAGCGTTACTTCGGACAAATTGCTGGAGATGACATCCCAGAAGGGTGATTTGATGAGTATTGCCTCGCGATCATTGAAGCTTAGCTCCGAGTTAACGAGCTTAATGGATTCATTAGCCTTGCGCAAATAATACTCTGCATTATCGCCTATATAGCGGTTATAATAATAGGCCGTAATACCTCGCAGATTCTTCTGAATTTTCGTTGAACGTATTGCTAGCGTTGGGACAGGTCCACTCACAATGCGATTCCGTATATTCTGCACTGGTGCCGTAACAGTGGTCAGCATAAGGACGGCACCTCCCAGCGCATTTGGTCCACTCTCATAGTAGATTATTATGCCATAGCTGCTGCTAGTCACCGGAAAGACATTTAGATCTCGCTTCACTTGCCACAGATCACTGCGGATGTTCTCCGTGCGAGCATTTAGAATATTAATACTCTCCGTAGATAGATTGTGAATGGGGTTAAGTAATTGTATGCCTATGACATAGCCAGCAGGACATTGTACCACAATCTTGCGACTGACTGACTGACCCAACAGCTCCTCGGTGCGTATATATTTATGCTCAAAGGTGCCCAAATCAATGTTGGCTGTTTCGTGTGGCAATACATACGGATCATAGTCTGTATCATACGCGTTAAAGTCGCGCGCCATGTTGAACCAGCCGCCAATTTCTTTCTGATCGGATGCCGAAATTACAGCATCATGTGATATGCCACTGCCATGATTGTCTTTGATGATGGAGCCGGCAATGCGAAAGTCTAGTTGCTTCAAGCTGATGCCACTGCCACGATTGCCTGAAAACTCAGAGTTCTTGATGTTGTTCACCGACTTTCCGGCATAGATGTCCGCATAGATGATGCCCAGACCATCCTGTAGGTTGTTAACAATGCGAACATTTTCCAGATTATGGCGCGCATGATCCATTTGCACAGCTGGCTTAAACGCATTGGTGGTATAGTCAAAGAGACCAGCCTTCTCCACAGTCACGTATTGCAGATCAGCACGTTCGGCCAGCATGCTGAAGCGTACACCTGCCCAGGCACCTTCATAGCAACGAATGCCCACATCGTTCTCATGACTGCAGGTGTTCTCAAATTCTCCGCGCGTTAGGTGCTCGGCCCGGCACTTGGTAATATCGCGATCGTGAGGCGTGCAACGCACATTGGCTACAAGCACATCCTCAGAGACACCCGCGTTGGGCAGCTGCGAGCGCAACAGACGCCAATCCTGTGGGTTCAACGTGTAGCCCAGATGATGACAGACTAAAGCAGCATTTAGAACATTCCAGCCATAATCACAGACTGTGCCCCAGCGGCCATTAAGGTAGAGTTGCAGTCGACCTTCGTGGGCTCCAGTGCCACCAACTAAACGCACTGGAACTCGCGGCACACCATCCGCCAGTATCGACTCGGTGTCCATGTCAATGGCTTCTGTTTCGCTATCCAAGTCAATAGTATCTGTGCCATTTTGTTCCATTATGATGGTTTCTCTTTTCAGCGTGAAGAGTATGTCATCGGGACGTCTGCCTCTTGCTTCCAGTTTGCCAGCAACCATCATACCCACACTGGGCTCAAACCGCAATGTTGTTCCGGGTTGGAGAATCAGCTTGCCTCCCGGCCGTATGTTTATATCTTTTGTGACTGTGTACGTACCCGCTGGCACCATGTCCTGACCATCCACCTCACCGCCTATGATGTCACTGCCTTCGTGAAAGAAACGTGGCACTACAGTCGAGACTGTAATCATAGCTGTCGAGCCGGGATTAGAGCTATGCAGCAGGTAGGGTATGTAGTTTATTTTGGCCAGATTGTAGCGATCATTTCGATGGAAGAGGCGCGCATAAATGCGATTTTCCTCCGTGTGACCCAGCCAATTGTATGTGGCATTAATGATTTGACTCTGATCGCATAGCTGCGAGCCAATCTCATAGGCTGAGTCCAAGTTGTGCAGTATATTGCGAAAGATGTCAATGTTACTGGAGCCTACAACGACGGGTGCTGCCACTCGGGAGCGTGGATTTAGACGTCCAGCACCATCGCTGCCTTCGCTGCCAGCAATAAGCGGACCAAAGGCCTCCGTAATATTGTTGCTCCGCACAAAGTTTCGAGTGAAAAGTATATACTGCACATCAGCGCGACTATACGGCGATAAAGCTAGTGATACCACATGGACTCCGCTATTCCGCATGAAGTAATTGCTCTGGATGAGTAAACGCGCGGGTAGGAAATTGAATTCAGGAAAGATGAAGTCGTTGTTTACATAAATACAGCCATAAGATCCGAACTTAAACATGTTATACTCAATGCGACCGTTCAGATTGAGTGCTGGACTCAAATAAACGGCATTCGCTTGACTGTACTTGAAGAGGTTGTGGCCCAATTGCAGTTGCATATTTGGCTCGCCATTCTCTGTCTTTTGCCAACACGATTCAATAAAGACGTCGTTCTGTTGACTGCCATTGAAGCTATTTCCCGTGATGTTCACCCAAATGGGACGACAGTAGTTGCCATGAAAAACGCCAACTTCGAGATTGCCCGCAATTTGTGAGTACTCCACCACGCTCGTTTGATTAAATGGCAAGTATTCGACGCGATTAATGTCTGTGGTATGATTCAGCCAGACCGCCAGACCATAACCCTTATTGGCGCTGATGGCTGAGCGGGAAATGTTTCGATTACCACCGTAGTAAGTGATGTTAACGCCAGCCCCATTGTTGAAGCTGATGTTGCTGCTAGTGATGTTGACATCCCCTGCTCCACTGGTGACATGCACACCCGCCACATGACCATTTCCGGAGACGGTGCTAGCATGGACATGAAGTTTCGACCGTATGTTGTCTATGGCCACCCCACGTCCAAAATTGTCCTCCACGGTGGACTGAGCGATGCGCAAATCGTACGCCACCGAGTCGCCTGATGTTATCCGAAAATATCCGTTGAGTTCCTCTCGGGAATTTGCTCGTATCCGTACAAACATCTTCTCCCTGGTGCTGGTAACGCTCTGGGGTCGTGTAAAATTGCGCGCTTGCCACTCGAAAAGCAGTCTGTCATTGGTTGAGGCGCCATCGAATATCTGGACAGTTGCCGTCTCATTGTTTTGCAGCACAAAGTGCTCGAAATGCAGCGTAAGGTAATAGCCGGGACGGGTGAAGAAGTATTTGCCGCACTCCTTGGCTGAGCCAGCGTAATATTTTTGCGTAAAGGACAAGGAGATGGGATACGTTTGGCCTGATGTGGTGGGCAGCGTGCAAAAGTCATAGATGGAGGCGCGATCTATGCGCTCAGTGCCCCGCAAATCATGACCCACATATTTGATGCCATCGGCCGCATTGTCCACCACTGTGCATCCCTCCAACTGCACCAATCCCTGGCTGGAGTTGACAAAGATACCAATGCCATTACTCTTGCGCACAGTCACGTTCTGCAGCTGAAAGCCCGCCCAGGGCCGTGTGCTGTTGAAACCTGTATACGCCGAATGACTGATGACCACATGCTCCATGACTGGCGGCAGTCCTTGCACCTCCACCGCCGACTTAGCGCTGAATCGTTCGCCATTGCCGGCACGTATAATGTCGACATATTTCAGACGTGACTCCGATTGCGCTGCATAGACGGTGTTGTCCCGGCCCAGCGACTTGGTCGAAGGCGCATTATCAAAGTACAGACCACGCCAATGTCCGAGCGGCTCGCTGTGCACCGGCTTGCATTGTATGCCCAAATCATTGTGATAGTCACACGCGCCGGCGCCCATTTGTCGCGTTGTCCAGGCGCACTCCTGCAGCGATTTCTCTCCACCTCTGCATTTGGGTTGCTCGTACAGAAGGCGTGGGTAATAGCCGGGCGTACGTTCCACCCAATTCCAAAAGCGACCGCCCTTATAGCCCAGTTGCTGGCAGGCTATCGCGTAGTCCGTCAGCGTCCAACTGCAAGTGAACACAAACAGTTTTTATCAAAATTTCCATTGGAATAAGATTGACACACTCACTTTCTTGAATTGGAGCAAACAGAACGCCACGCGCCCTTGTGGAATAGCTGGAGACGACCCTCCACCGGAGTCGGTCCATCCACCAGTCTTATGCCCTTCTCCTGCTCATCGGGTAGCTCCAATTTGTAACTGGCCGTGTTGCTTTGCGATTTGAGCACAATTCGTTGGGTAGGCGTACCCTGAAAATGGAAAAAGAAGAAGAAACCGAATTAGATTACCCTTGAAATTTCTGCTCTAAGGCTCTCAGATGTAACTGGTAAACTATATGCATTTTAGGTATATAGAAACTAAAAAAACTCTTTTTTTTCTGTTCATAGTTTAATTAGCTCATGTTTCGAAGCCCTAGTTTAATAAAGAAGAATGCAAGTCTTCAAAACCTATAAACAGACTTCATTCATATAGACAGATAATATTTTAATCTTTAATTTAAAAAAGACTTCTTCATTTTGACATGATCCAGGAGACTTAAGTCGAATCAAAAAAGGTATTGAAGGCCATTCCAGAAAATGATTTTCCAGGATACTTCAAGGATAAGGCTATTAAATCGATCTGTTAAATTAGATTTATGTATTTAAATCTGTATGTATATGGATAAGAGTATCAGCCATATTTCAAATTACATCGTTTGAGTGTTCAGAAAAAAAGCTATCCTTGGGTCATTCATACTAGCTATACTTGTAAAAATCTATTATGCTCCAAATAATCATATTTATTCATTTTTTCTCGTTTTAATTAAATTTATTTTCTTTCTCTATTTAATTATATCTGTTCATCTATGTACATTTGTTTTATTTTTTTACATTTATTTATGTTTATTTAAATTTTTTGTATATTTATTTACATTTTTTTATATTTATTTATATTATTTACATTTATTGAATTTTGTTTGCATTTATTTATATATTAATTTAATTGCATTCATATTTTTTAATTTATTTCAAATAATAGTTTACCTTCAAGTTCAAGTTTATTAACATTTATTTACATTTATTTATATTTATTGATTCACATTTTTAGTTAATTAGCTCATCACAAATAATTTATCTTCAAATGGCAAGAAATTCAAACATTACGGCGTTGCCACTTGATTGCAGCATGTAATCTTTGCTTAGCGAACAAAACCACATACACACATGCAAGTGTACACACATATGAAGATTACCGCTTACTTGCGCTTCCTTTTAATCATCACTTCGTAGCCTATAGCTGAGCGCGCTGCGCATTTGACTTTGTTTTGCGAAAATTAGTTGTCTTTGCGTGAAAATCGTGTGAAAAACTTTTTTAAAATTGCTAAAAATTGTGTCAAACAATGTTAATTATATTATATTATATGCGAGTCAAGTGCGAAGTATCGTGTGTGCACAAATACAATGTTTTTCGTGTATTTTTCATGTGGGCGTCTAACGGTTGTTGCCAGCGGAGGCTTGCCCGGCGTTACGTGTTGGCGACCCTTACGTTTTTTTTAGCTGTACGCGAAGTGCGAATTTGTTGACACCTACATATGCATGTAAGTAGTGTGTATGTATGTATTACATTTATACGAACATAGAATGTATGTATGTAATTACATATACATATAATGTTGTGCTATAATATTCGCAGAAAAGTGTAAAGTGCGTGAATCTTGTGTGTGTTTTTTTTTTGCGTAAATGCTGTCATAGAAAGATGCTTATCTTGAGCGCTTTCTTTATACATACATATGTATATAAAATTATTATTATTAAATTCTTTTTTTTATAATTTTTTTTAAGTGATCGCGAAATGTGTTGACCGCTTTTATTCCAGAAATTGAATTAAATGCTCAGATAAAAGTGAGTGGCAGTGTTCGGTCTCATTTTCTTCGCCATTGTTCTTAGTGGGAAAGCCGATTATAAATGCGCGAGTTTTCTTTGTGTTTTTTGTTGCCTTTTTTTTTAGTGCAAGTGATTTAATTAAAATTTTGCAAACAGATGACTTCTTTTTGGGGTTACGGTGAGTTGCAAATTTATTCGAATGTTTATTTTAAAAGTAATGTTTGTTCTTTCACATTTGAAAAGACTAAAATGCCAAAATACTTAAAGTACTTGAGAAACAGCTAACTATACCACTTCCTTTGGATACTTATAACGCAAATAACGAACATCTATGACACTTAAAATGTTAGTGTTAGCTTCAAGTTAAAACTACTAAGGTATGCTGGTTGTTTGTAGTCATGATTGTTAGGGTCTGTTAGCTAGCAACATTTAAATATTTAAATTGATAATTGATTCTATGGTTTCTAAATATATGAGATAAGGGAGATGGGATCTTCTGAATAGGGTTGGTCTATATTGTTTTGGGGGCTATAGAAAAGTTACAAGTTTTTTTTTTGTATAGTTGGATAGATATGGTGTTTTTATTAGGTTTTTTTTGTGCAAGTCTAAGTGTTGTAAATTATATTTGCGAGAGGCTGGAGAGCTTCAGGCTTGATGTGGTTGTAAAACATATTGTAAGAGAAAGTTTGCTTTCAGATTTGTCTACTTGGGAGTTGAATATTGGAGTTGAAGTTGGGTGTATATATAGTATATACATACTCGTATTGGTATAATAGATTTGTTGATAATTTGGCTATTGACTCAGCATTTTTGAAATTGTATAAAAAGCTACAGTTTCACCTCAGCTTGTGGCTCACTATTTCAGTTCCAACTAGCACAATTTTCATTTTCAATTATGACATTTTCTCACTGTTGCTCGCTGTTGGCCTTCGTTGCCCAATGCGAGTTCAGTTTCATGGGGTTTTTGAGCAATTTGTACAATTAATTAACACCTATGCGTTGTCAATTTTGACGCTGCCATACAAAAAACAACGCCCACTGCCCAACTTTTGACAATTTTCTCAATTGCAGTGGCAAAAACAATTTCATATTTCAGACGCAGCTGAACCCATTGACCTGTGAAACATGACGCATCGCATCTATTTTGCATAAGCTTCCAAAATATTGGCATCTGAGCTTAGTCCGCATTATTGTGGAGGAACTGAAGCACGAGCCAAGCCACAAATAAGCTAATTTGTCCATTTCCAGTATAATCAAATGATCAATTATGCGTTCCGTTCGCGACGACGCGTCGTAGACAGCGACGTTCACTTAAATCTAATTAACCCTTAATGAACCCATGACCGCTACACTGTGCCCGATTAACCGACACTGGCACTCGCACTCGAAACGACGGACATGCCGCATGCAAAGCAATGCAGCTCTTTGAAGTTGGTTATTATTATTGTTTTTTATTATCGTTATTGCCGCTCTTTCTGGTAATGGTGCAACAAATATTGAGGAAGTTCATGTTCGTGTACATGGCGAACTTGTGTGACCCAATTAGGGCGGCGCATGCTCGGATGTCGCCCTAACCCAACATAAGTGCCAACATGCAGAACAAATATTCAAGTAACAAGTGAGATGCGAGGGTTGCTATAAGACTCTTGGGTGACAAACAAAATTCCTTCAATTGGTATAAAACACAACATACTCCTAGATATCTCTCTGAACCGTTGACTAACTAATAAACTTGGGTTTCTACTTTGGAAATTAACAGCAACAAAAAAGCGTGCAGATAAAGAGAAAGATAAATAAACTATTTATAACAGAATATACGGTTATATTCCATTCTGATAAACATGGGTTCTAATAAGGAATATACCATTGCAGAGTGATAGATACTCCTTCATGAAAGCAATTTGCGTTGTGTGAGTGCAAGGAAAGGAAACTTATTTAAATAGTATTAAAGGCAGCTCCAAGAAATTTTGGACTTGGCCCATATACCCTAAGCGTATAGTCGTGAATTGTACTTATTAGTGAAGTAGTATTAAGCCGCCTGTGAGGTTATCTAAAAATGATTCGGCATTCAATAGCAAGGCAACCTCCTTGGCTGAAACGACGAAATGAACGCCATACTATCAAATTCTTTGATCATACCTATTAAACTATTTTTCCCGCTAACCAATAGATGTTTAAACTACTTGCTTAATGTTGGACTTCAAGTTGTCGAAACTCTTTCTCTTTCCATTCATTGGCCTGCTATCCCCCATTCAAGAATATTCGAGCCCACTTATCTAGCGTGGTCTTTACGCCTTAACAGCTGTATAATGGATCAACAGCTTGTCTGTCGGGCTGCTGTGACTCATAAATAGTATAAGTCTATACTTGTATAAATATAAATTGAAAAGAAATGAATCTTAAATAACGTTCATAACAACCCACCCATTATGCTCTTTATAAATTGCTCGCATTGTACGCCTCTTGTATGTCCCGTGCTTATCACTCGCACCTATATTATAGACTGGCCAAATCTTATCAGTTCAAAGTCAACAAAGCGCTACGCAACATCGAGCGTTTATCTCCCTGAATTGCTCACAACCTACTCATTCACTTGTTGGCATTGTTGTTGCTGTTGTTGTTGTTATTGATAGCGACAGGTGCTTCTGCGCTTAATCATAGAGCAAACATTTTCGTGCCAATTCCCCCACCGATAGATAATTTAGCTTACTTACCACAGCTTGCAGCACGCCGCGCACCTTCAGACCCTTGGTGGGCGCAAATTCAATCGTAACTCCGGGCTCTATGGTTAGACGTGCCCCACGCACCACTTCGATGTCCTCGCGTGCTAGGAAAGGACTCTCACTGAGCCGCCAAATGCGCTCGCTGAGTATCTCACCGCCTGGCAGTTCTGTGTACGATGACGTCAGCATCGGAGGTGGCGGTGAGGAGGCGGGCGGCGCCTTTGTGGCGTCCATAACATGACGTGTGGCAGGCAGCAGTTGTGTGGCGCCATCGAGACTCGCGAACTCGATATCATTATCCTGCAGCAGTTCAACTGCTTCGAGGTCCTGCTGCTGTTGCTGTTGTTGTTGTTGTTGTTCGGCTGCGGCGCCATTGCGACCCAGTTGAGTGGCAGACAACAACAACAACATTGCAACGCTCAGCGTGCATATGTTGCCACATATTGTTGTTGTGGGGCTGTTGTTGTATATGTTTCTATAGTTGTTGTTGTTGTTGTTAGTATTATATACACATTGTTTGTTTTGTTGTTTTATTTTAGTCGTTTTATATCGTTGCAGCAGCATTTGTGCATTGTTTTTCGTACTTTTTCGTTAAATTACACAATTTTTTCACTTATTTTATATGATTTTTTAATTTTTTATATATTTTTTAAAATATTACATTGCCTTGGTTTATTTAATAGAAACTTTAGCTGAAAAATCACAGAATCGTTTTATTATAAACAATTTAACAATTTTTAAAACTTCGTTTGTTAAGCAATTTCGTTTGAAAAGCTCTCAATACTTTTCATTTTGAATGTTGCGCACTAAATATAGTAGTTTCTTATTCACTTTTGGCTGCTTCTTTCAAAACCCAACACACGTATGGCTTAACACTTGGCCTAAACCAAAACACACAAATACCTATACACACACACACACTTACAAACACACACGTCAGCTTCGTAATAGTCTCATAATTTTGTTTTCAACCAAATAAACACGTCCATACGCAAAGAACCGTTACCAGCAACTGAGCGGGTTTATAATTATGCATTACTAGCTGAGCGGCAGCGACAGCGACACGCATACCATGACAACAGCAACAAAAGAAAAGTCCAAGCACAACAACTACAATAAAACAACAGCAGCAGCAATGACAGTAACAGCAAAGCATTTGGGGAGTTGCTGCGAAGCTCCACTTCGCACAGTGGTTGAAATGTATAAAACTAACGAAAGATCGAATGAATATTTATAATGAACGAGAGCTATAAGCAAGTTTTCAACAATGAGGTATATCCCAAAATTAGTTAGTAGTATATTAGTTGAAAACATTTTATTATTATTATTTTATTATTATTACAAAAATTTATTATGAACTTTAATGTATCATTTATACATTTTTTTTAGAACAAGAAATGTCATTTCAAGATTTAAGATATACTATTACTCATAAATTAACAAATCTGAAAGCTATTAGACAAACAATAATTTTGATTTATTTTAAAATTACCATACATTTCAAAATACAATAGCAAACTTAAATTTTTTGGTCGAATTTTCCAAAAACGTATGACACTGTTTGGTCATGGGCTTCACGTCGCGACGCTCGGCTAGTGTGTGAGTAGTTGTAAAATAACTGTAAATGTGTAGGCATTTCATTCATGCCCTGAGCGAGAGAGAGTAAGCCAGCAGACAAATGGGTGGGAGAAAGAGCGCACCCGTGACAGAGAGAGCAAGAGATGGAGAGAGGCAGCGTGAGGTGCGCAACAAACTCTGACATGGCACGTCGAACGGCGCATGCAAACGCACAAAGTTTACCTTTGTTGTTGTTTGTTGTTGCTTGTTTGGTTGGTTGGGTTACGTGTGCGTAGTAGAAAGAAAGCATTTCTTTTTTTATGTTTCTGTGGCTTTTCCACACCAACGTCTTACAATTTTTCAACTTTTGTTGTTTATCTGCTGGGTCTACCGCCTTAAACTTAATGGCAAGCCATAGAATGCAAGACAAAGGTGCGGGCGTGTCGAGAAGTCGGTCTTTTATGTCTGGATCTTGCAGTCAGTCACAATCAAGAGTCAACAGTTGGTCAGAAGACAGCCAGCATTATTTATTGAATATGCAAAGCAGCTTGTTTTTAACTTGCGGGTGTATTGGTGCATTTGATTGTATATCTACATATGTATATACATATACTCATACATACGCATATATGGACGTATCTATAAAACATACATACTCGTATATCTTTTTGTGACTCAACTGCAAGCTATGTTGCGACTAAAGTGCATTTAAAACTTCATTGCCTGCCGTTTTATGGGTTTATGAGACAACAGTGTAACTAAATGTACATGCACAGGTCCAAATTTTAAATCGTCCACATGTAACGAGAAGCAGCCTGCATTATATTTTTAGGAGCAAATATATCTTTATACTTTTGCGATCCTGTGTGTTTAATATCTGAAATTACTTCTGCAAATTGTCTTATATGTATACTACAAGTATATTAATGTACTCTTTGGCGAAATCCCGACGTATAAGTTTGTTTCTCTGGCTGATGTATAGTTTCTTACGTGGGATTCGGTCACGAAAATATTGTTTTTGTAAGAAACTTCTTATTTGTCTTTGTCCTGTGACATGAACATTGAAATCAAAACCAACTTTTTTTTTGCTATTTCCAAAAACTATTGCATACTTCTTTGAAAATTTTGATAAGATATCTCTTCAAATTCACAACGGGTTAAGGCCATATTCAAGTACCATTGCGCCCAAAAAGTTGACTTCATTAAGAAAATTTCCAATCTTCATTTATAAAGTAAATATTTTGTTTTTATATAGTATAATTGATTTTATGTTTTTTGATTTAATCAGACAATTCGATTTATTTAGTTTATTAATGTCGTTATAAGCGCCAAATTCTTATGGCAACAAAGAGAATTTCCATGCTCTGTGAACACAAAAGATTTTGTTTGCAAGACGTTATCTTGAAGGGCGGTCTATTAACGTAATAGTTTCACCATGACAATATCGATGAACGTATAGTACCCTCGCCTCTCTGAATTGACCATCTTCCTAAGCAGCTTTATTATGTCGGAGCCACTAGAAAACGAGTGGACCAGGGGGAAACGTAAGTCTATATAATGTTGGTATCCGTGTTTGTCATACCACTCCTTGGCAGATTCTATCCTAGGGAGAACGTTCAAATCTTCCAGGCCATCTTTCTTACCTCAAGAAAGCCCCAAAAATTCAGTCCCCAAGAAATTCAAGAAACCAAAATACGGATTCTTCAAACAAACTTTGGAGCTTGTTTTCCCCCACTTGGAGCTCGTATTTTTCAAAACTGTTTCTTATTGCACACCTTCACTATGAAGGGATATTTGAGTCCGTTTGGGCTTTTTTCGTACGTTAAGAAATGTATTTTTATACTCTGTACATGAAATGTTCAAGAGTATATTAGGTTTGCAGGAGCTGAAAAATGTAACAAGCATATTAGTGATCAGCATGACAAGACGAGTCGATCTGGTCCTGTCTGTCTGTCCGTCCGTCTGTCCGTATGAACACCTGGATCTCAGAGACTATAAGACCTAGGGACTAGGGAAAATATTAGTCCAGGATACCTTATGTGAATATGATGAAAATGATTTGGAATCTCCCCCCTCTTCCATGCAATCACTGATTTACCATAACTGCCGTATTTCTTGGAATTTTTGGAATATTTAACAGGTTCATACAAGGTATAGCCATATATGTATGTTTTTTTACACATACAAATTTTACAAGGACTCTGGGCTGAGGTACATACTATAGTTTTAAAGTCGAATATAAACGCCCCACTTAATATAAATATGAGCCCAAAAATACAATTTATAAACGACTATACTTAAAATGTTTGAAGGGGAAAATATTGATTTATTCAATTCTATCCAATTTAATCAATAATGCCAAAAACTATTTAATAACTATCGAAATGTTCAAACTAGCTAACGATTTATGATTACTTAGTAAAATATTTAACATACTTTTGAAATCTTGAATCCGTAAAATCCCCTTTATTGAACGAAACATTATTAGTTGCTAATAAAGGCGGTTATCTTTTTGCCAGTTTCTTTATGTTATTCTCCCACGCTTTCTCAAATTGCTAATTTTCTCTGACTCTCTCGCAATAATTACGCACAATTACTATTTTATATACTCTTCAAGCAAATTAGTCATCATTCTATCTCTCATTTGTTTTGATCATTTGGAAAGCAAACAAATTGTAATTTGCATAATTTGACTAACAAATTACAGACCTGTTCCGCCTTCCTATAAACAATGCTCATGGAAATAGTATGCTAAATAAATTCATATGCTCCCGAATTAGCAACATTTTTGGGCCGCATTTTTGTTCACACAATAAACGTTTTGGCTGTCGAAAATATATATACGAGTATGTTCATACATATATACTTATGTATATATGAAAGATAAGGTATTGCTTATCGCAGCTTTTATCTAGAAGTACATGATTTTGATTGTACATAGCTATAAAGCTCACAGCAAGAAATGCACTTGACCGTCTTTTTGTGGCATGCTTGCCGGCCTACCTGCCGTTTCTTAACTGATTGATAATGCCAACTTCCTTTAACGTCGACGTCGCCATTACTTTCATGACAACAACAAATAGCCAACGCGTCATCAGTTCAATGAGTAATTCAGTATACTATGTATAGTCGATTCGTAGGGCGGAGCGGCAGGGAGGAATTAGCGTGTAATGGAACGGAAGTAACAGGGGAAGTAGCTAAACAGCGTTGCTAGCTGACGGAATTCGTGCAAGTGCAACAAACTGCACACCGACGACGACGACGACGTCGACGTTGCGACTCAACGCATTCTGCTGACGTCCACGTCGCACAGTGGTAAATAAGTGGTAATTACATATTTTATTGTTAAATAATTAAGATTCGTCGTGACTATGACATTTCTCTCTCAAAAGTTGGTAGAGGTCATGGTGCCAAAAGAAAATTTAAATAACGGCAATTTTTGCATAAATATTCTTTATAAATAACTGAAAATCTGTATCTACTTCAGCAATTCGTAGTGTAATGTGAATCGTATTTAGATCGTTGTATTCATCTATATTCATACACAGACTGACTGATTTAACATCGCTTAGCCCAGTAGAAGCGAAAAGTATGCAGTTAATGAAATAATTTAACCCCGAAGTGGGTAAATATGATCAGTAATGATTATAGTGGAGTAGAAAAACACGGCTAAGCTAAGAGTTTAAAAGTGCTCTTGCAAATTGTTACTTGAAATTATAATATTTACTCTTGAAACTCAATAAAAGGTGTGTATTTTTATATAAACTTTTTCATCTTATAATCATTTCTCATAACTTCTGAAAATTTCAATGACATTAAAGTGGTATTATAAAATTGAAGAGCAAAGCTTAAGATGCACTGAGTATAATATATTCTAAGTTAAATATTTATATAAAATGTGAAGTTCTCTAGAGTTCTTCAACTATTAAGTTTCTATTTCATGACAAAATTTGAATTTATTATTTATTTGAATTTGACTTTATTTTAGCAACTTTTTATTCTAAACCACAGTAAGTTGAATATTTGTATGTAATTTAGTAAACAAAATTGAGGTTCTTTAAAGATTTTTAAGCGTTCTTCAGCTATTGAGTTTGTATTCCATTTCAAGAAAAAATAACAACATTTAATCTTTTCAGCAGAGTTGTACGTGGGAGGTATGAAAATCTATTCTAAACCACTGTAAATTTGCAGCGTTGGCTGCGATTGTTGCTTCGGCTACTGCGATGACTGCGCAAGTGCAACATTTTGTTATAGTTTGCTGGGTTTATTGGCCACAAAAATTGTTAGTTAGTTATAGTTGGCATGTGCGGTATGTGTGATTATGTGTGTGTGTGTATTTGTGTGGCAATTAGTCAGCGATGCTCTTCATGTGCATGAAAGCGTGCGTGCATGCGTGCGTGAGTTTGCTGAACTGCACCAAAGAGGCAATCTTCATGGCCCGATGGCTTAGATTCGCGCTAACGAACTCTCGCCACGGCATCTCACAGTTGGCCATAATGTACTAATTATATGAAAATCTGTTTTCTGTTCTTTTCGGTTCTCTTCTTCGCTTTTGAAAACTCAAGCAACTGGCAACCAAGTTCTTTGCTTGGTCGGCGGTCAGTCAGTCGGTAGCTTTATTTTTATTTCTTTGTGCTCGCTTTGTTGTGTATTGGTGTGTTTGGTAATACTTTTTGGCCAAAGCGTATGAGTGGTGCACCAACACAACCTCACTTTTTCACAAACACGAACAAAGACAGACACTGACATTCACAGTCAGATTACAATTTCTGATTTTTCAATTAAACTTCCACTTATTTTGCCATTTTTATTATATATATATTTTATAGATTCTTCACTTTTTTTGGCATTTTGTTTAAATTTGTTGCATTACGCAGGCGTTTTGAATTGTTTAAAGACGCTTTTCGTCACGAATAAGGCGCGGTCGCGATCGATCACACTTACATACACACATATACAGAGGCAGGTTAATAAAAAAAAGCACCGTTGAGATCAATTTTAAGCGCACACGTCTGCTCCGTCGCGTTGTCGTACACCTTCTGGCGAGCTCTGTCAACTCTGCGAGCGCCATGGAGCGCACTGAGGCAACCAAAAGTCAAAAGTACAAGTCGTCGCTGTCTTCTTGCCACTGAGTTTCAGCCGTTGAAACACAACAACAACATGACGCGCCATTCAAATCAACAACAACCACAGCAACAGCAACAGCCAACGGTCGTTGCTGAGCAGAGCTTTGGCGAGCGAGTGCGCGAACTTTTTTCTCGTTTCTCGCAACCAAATGTCAGAAAAGCCAGTTAAAGGCAGAGCGAACGCTCTCGCCACTTACCTTGGCCACAATGCAATTAAAGCTGCTGCTGCTCTGTGTTGTTACCTGTTGCTTTGACTGGGCGCTGCATAGTGGAATGGAAAGCGAAGAAATGGGGGAGAACCTCCAGCCATTTGCATAGTCTGATTAGCTTCTCTTGACAAAAACAAAAGTGTAGAACTTCTTTGCTTCACTTAAAGAGAATAAAGTAGAATGAATGCTAGAGTTCTTTGTAGTTTTTAAATCAATCAATTCAAAATTTAAATAATGGTGACGTTTTTGAATAAAACCATGACTGACTTACATATGTGAACAAAATAAAGATCTACAAAATAAATATAGGCTCTGATCGGTGCAAAAATCACATTTAATACAAAAATGTTTATTTTGAATTAATGGAAATTTTATAGTGCCACATCATAATCTTCATTTTTATCAAAATCGATGCACAAAAACAATTTTTGCAGCGCAGCCTATAACTCTGGTTGAGAGAGGGGACGAAAGAGTAACACGGGCGCGACTTTGACGTTTTATTCGCTTAATCTGCAGCTTTTATTTTCAAAATACATCTTAGTTTTAAAGACTGAATGAAGTTTATTTGAAGTGCGACAAACTATTTAAAATGTTAAGTGTATTCTAGCCGATTTGTCATCAATTGCACGATAAGGGCAGTCTTTTTACAGTTTTTTGATACACTCAGCGAAAAATGAAGCTCTTATTCCAAAATAAAATTTCAGCGCTAGCAATTAAGTTGTAACAATAATTTTTTTTGAATATACAATAATACGTTGCATACTTATAGCTGCATTAAATTAGTTGTACAGTGGAGAGTTCTGTTACGAACAAAGCAGATAATGTAACATATTCTTTTTTGTAGCATACTTTTTGCTGCATGCAATAAAATGTTTGATCGTGAAGAAATTTGTATAGCAATCAAAATTGAGTTGAAATCAAAATTGTTAAGAAATATTGACGGTTCTGGTTTAAGTTTTGAACAAAATAGTTAAGATTTGAAAGCTGTTATTTAGTAATTGTTGTTAGTAGTAATTTAGTAATTTGGAAACATCCTTTTGTATTTGTACAGCGTAGAGTTCGTTAACATACCATGGCATAAAAAATAACATAGCACAATTCTGTTAACTTTAACAGTGTTGTTATTACAAATGGAAAAGGGGCTTAAAGGGCTCAAGAAAAAAGCTAGAATTAAAATAGTAGGAAAGGAAACCACTTATTGAAGTTGCACCAAGCGATGAAAAATTTATAACTTAAAAACTAATAAATGAAAGCCGCATCATAGGAAAACTTAATTTTTTAGCCCGTACCCAAAGGGTATAGGCTATACTAATTTTTAAATATGTATGTATATATCTGTTATTCCGATGATTCTAACGTATGTGCAAATTTTAAAATTTCATCTGCTTCTATTTGGCTTAGTGTGGTTGTTGAATTGTGTACCTTAAATGCATTACAAAAATCTTTATTCAATACTCCTCTAAATTTCTTCTCTATGTTAATTGTTAATTTTCTTTTTTGTTTACCATCGCCATCGCTATATTAGATAGATATAATCGATCAAAATGTTTTTTATTACAATATTCTTTATTGTTTTTTACATTTTGTTTGCATTTTAATGACGGGGCCTTAGCTTTTCCTCTTGTTTTTGTATTAAATATATCGTTTTGATAAACTTAATAAGGACATAATGAAAAATCTTCCCCAAAAAATTTGAAGCATACAAGCAATTTGAAGCAATTTATTTGCAACCGTTAGTCACATACTTTAAGGCTGACCTTCATAAATATAGAGATTATTTCACTGCTAAGTCAGCGTTGCTCACTATTAGTCGCTGAAGATTGAAATTTTCCATAAGTTGGCGTGATATATGTACTCGTACCACTCGTACGCTCCAGTAAATGATGTGTTTATGAATTCATTTCGCCCCATTTCCGGTTAAAGAATTTGCCAACCATCCATCCACTTGGCATATTTTCCGAAGGCAAATCACGTGCCCTCGTCCCTAGTGATATCATCGTTGGCATCACAACTCCATTGAGGTTGAGTTTAGCTTTTTATAGCTTATGCGATAGTTGTGGGTGTGTGGCATAAAAAATGCCTGGAAAAAAAGACAATTTGATGACAGCAATTTACGTGCGGCTTTTAATTGAACTTTCTACGTGTTCGAGTGCGCAAAACTTACACATGATGGCGGCTGTACTTAGACTTGACTTGATTCCGCCGCAACCCATACGGTGGCACGCAACGGCGATTTGCCTTGAATTTAATACCGCACTCGACTGTGTGAGAGAGCTTGCAATGTTTTAAAGGCGTTGCACAAAACCACAAATTGTCTATGGAAGTCTGAGACCCCGGCAAAACGTGCCTGAAGTATTATGGATCTTGATGTGGCTGTGATTGATGTGACACATGACTCACAAATTGACTGACAAGTGACTTGAAAGTTTAATGAATAAATAGCTAGTAATAAAAAATATAAAACAAGGCATGTATTTTTCAATTTTTATTCAAACTTTATTATCATTTAAATATTTATGCGGTATGTCGAAAAATCATTTGAAATTCAAGGAAGACAATGGAAGTTTATGTTTTTGCAATACTTATACATAGATAAGGTAACTAGGCTAGGGGCGTGTACTTAACATCTAGCTTGAGTCAATTAAAATCGCTACAAATTAAAGTTTAAAATTGAACTGGAATGCTGGCAGAGTTGGCCGTTTCTAAGTTACTTTTACTTTCAACCTTTTTTCCCCTCAACAAAATCTTGATTGATTTCATTTCAACATTAACATGAGCTTAAACATAAAACATAAATTAAAGTTGGATTTATTTTGCTTAGACGTTGATTGTTTTCTTGTTTTCTTTTTTTTGTTTTTGTCTTTTTTTTGTTTACTACGCAGCTAAAGAAACAAACACTTAGTGTTGGGGCGTGCTAAACAATACTAAATGCTAAACAAAAATTATAGACTCTCGAAGTAAATGCTAATATTTATGTGATATGTAGTATATAGTAGGCTATATGTAGCTGCTAACTTACGTGCTAGAAGCGAGTAGGGCTACAAATGCAACAACAGAGTTTAGTACACAGTGGTGGTGTGGTAAACTATCTATTCTAATTGGCAATTAAAAACTTATATTTGCATAGTTTTTCCGTAATTTATTGCGTTACCTAGACATTGTACTAAAATGTACTAAACGTACCAAAAGTACCTAATGCACTTTAAGTACGCAGATTGTACTGAAAGTAGCAGAAGCGCTTGGAATGTTACTTTGCAGTAAAAATACTAAATGTGCTAAAAGTACTAAATGCACTCAAATGAGCTACAAGTGCAAAAATTGTACCGAAAGCATCAGAAGCGCTTGGAATGATATGTTATAGTAAAACTATTCAATGTACTAAAAGTGCTAAATGCACTCTAAGCACGCAAATGAACTGAAAGTGCAAAATTGTCTACCGAAAGTAGCAGCAGCAGCAGCGCTTGAAGTGCTACCTAGCAAAGAAAGTACTAAATATACTTCAATTAATAAATTCACTCAATGCCAACAAATGAGCTGAAAGTGCATAGATTCTACTGAAAAGATCAGAACCTATGAAGTGGTTGGCATTTGTAGTTAAGTACTAAATGTACTAAAAGTACTTAATGCACTTAAAGCCCACAAATAAGCAGCAACTGCACAGTTTAAACCGATAGCAGCAGCAGCGCGCATTGCTACTTTGTAGTGAAAGCACTAACTCTACTAAAAGTACTTAATGCACTTAAAGCAAACAAAACGTACTTAAAATGGCTGCGAGTAGGCCAAGCGCTAAAAGTACTTCATCTAGTTAAATGTACTATAAGTACTAAATGTACTAAAAGTACCAATTGTGATCTTATTCTATAAATAGGCGACTTCTTGTCATAGTTTACTAAATAGAACAATTTTCAACGACGCATTATGTCCTCAATGCTAAATCCTGTTCGTCTAGGTGGTGCTGGTGGCGGTGGTGCAGGAGCAGCATGTTCCTTTGGTGCAGGCGACATGCCAGCCTGTTGCAATGGCTTGCCCAAAAGCTGTCTCGGCGCATGCCGACTCATATTTAGGGCGTAGATGCTTTGATTTTCCAAATAGGAACGCTGACTGAGCGCATGGGCGCCCGGATGATCCACCATGTCCAAGGAAGGGGGCATTATGCGCTTTCGTGATGGTATCGAGCCCAGGAAACTGGGCAACGCCTCATGCGGCGAGTGCAGCGGTTGTGGTGGCGGTTTCGCTGACACTTCTGTGGTGATTATCGTTGGCGCAGTGGTGCTAGCTGGTGGTGCAACTACCGGTGGTTTTGTGAGATTTGTAGGCACGGCGGCGGCGTTGTGTTGCAACGACTTGTGATGAAGATCGCGACGCACATGCAACATGGGTAGGTAGGGATCGCCATTTGCATTGGGTGGTGGCAAAATATTGGGGGCTAGATGATGGTGCGGCAGATGCGGTGGTGCCGCCTGTGGTGGTGGTGGCGGTGGTGCTGGTGCATAACGCAGGCCTGGACTGCCCAAAACAAAAGGTGGTGTCGCATTGGTAGTGGGGGTACTGGGTGTGGATAGTGTGGCCTCCTCGAGCGACCGCTGCTCGCGTTCCCCGTGCGGCCGCATCGTATACGTCTCGCCACCCTCATGGTGGCAGTGGGTGACGCCTTGGCGCTCCGGCTTGGGGGCCGTGGCAGCTGCTGCCGACTGATTGGCCTTGAAACGCGCAACCAGCGCTGCCTCCGCCTCAGCTTCTTCTTCCGCTGCCGCCAGCTCTTCGTCCTCATGCAGCTCCTCGCGCTCACGTTCGCGTTCACGGTCACGTGCATAGCCAGCCGTCTCATGCAGCTCCTCCTCCTCGTCGTAGTCGTCGAACTCCTCCTCACTATCGTCCTGCTCATAGGGAGCTGTGGCTTTGCGCTTCAGACGCATGCGTTGCAAATTGTTTTCAGCACCACCTTCCGCACCTTCATCGTTTGGTTCGCTCAAATTGTGCACCGGTGACTGACGCGGTGAGTCCACCTCGAGCAGGGAGTCCTCCTCATCGCCGCTCAAATGACGTGCCTCGTCCTCCTCACCCACGTCGACATAGTCGCCAGAGCTGACATCGCCGACGGCATGCGTCAGGGCATGACGACGCAGATCGCAGTTGCGCCGAAAGACTTTGCCACACGACGAGCACTCGTACGGCTTGTGGTCGGTGTGTGTCAGCAGATGGGTCTTCAGATTGGAGCGCTGGTTGAACGAGCGACTGCAGACGGGACACTTGTGCGGCGACTCCTCCATGTGCAGTATTTTGTGTACGGCGAGCGTGCGCGACTGACAGAAACCTTTGCCGCATTCGGTGCATTTGAATGGCTTCTCCTTGGAGTGTATATATCTGTAAGATATGGAGTAGCCAAAGAAGAGGAAGAGAATGGTTAAATAATGTGTGGGCGTTGTTGCTGTTGGTTGTAAGTAGCAAGTCAATTGTGGCTGTCAGTTGACAGTTAGCTGCATTATCTCAGCCACCGTCTGCCTGCTGAAAATGCTTAGATAAAGTGCGCCGATATATATTATTTTTATGGCAGCCATCTTGGCAATGGCGTCCACTTGTTCTTCTTGGCAGCAGCCACGGCCGGCCAGCCAGCTTCAGAATAAGTCAGAGTCAGTGTCTGAGGCAGCAGCTGCGGCCAAACAAAAAAAAAAAAACAGGTTATTGGCCAAACCGAAGCTTTCAAGGCGCACCGAGATTCTTCGGCGTTGTCGCTGCCTCGACTCTGTCCACTTTAATACTCTATAGAGAAAGTTTTAATGCATTTTTCGGGCTAGTTTGTGAAGCATTAAGAAAGGACTACACTTTCTCGATTTGGTTTTGGTTTTTATGCAACTGTTGCTTTTATCTTTTTAAAAAGTATTGCCAAAACTTGATCTTCATATTGTAGTGTCTGATGAGATCTTTCTGATGCTTTTCAGCTTTTCAACTTTTAATTTTTGGTTCTTTTGTTGTACTTTACGGTCCTTTCTAGTCGAGATCTGATATTATTTCGGACTGTCCAACTCTTTACTCTTTGAATATGTTTACTTTTTTACTTTTAAAATATAATTACACCTCATATAGTTCTTTGGTTGTACTTTTCGGTCCTTTCTAGTCGAGATCTGATATTATTTTGGACTGTCCAACTCTTTACTCTTTGAATATTTTGGCACTTTAAAGAGAATTTCACCTCATATAGTCAGAGTCTAGAAAAGAGTCGTACCATGGAAAAATATAGCTAATTGTCTTATCTTTTTAGTAAAAATTTTATACCAAAACTAGCTCTGTTTCTGCCAACTATATTTTAAGTTTTTCATCTTCGCTTTTTGTAGTGTATCTAGAAGTCAATTTTGTATCTAAGAGATTCCCACTTGATTTTTTACTGCCTGTGTTTTCTTTTGCCTCTCCCTTCGCCGCTGTCTCGCTGGCTGTTTTTTCTTTTTTGTTTTTTGTATAACCGCTGAAGAATTAGGCCCGCGGCAAAGCAAACAAACGACAAATGGACCGAACGATCAAAAGGCAGAGCGCTTGGACCCAAGTCTTAAGCCAAGCAAGCGACGTTTGTGGTGCAGGAAAGGAAGAAGAAAGAAGCTGGCTAGCTGGCTGGCTGCCTGGCAGGCAGGCATTGAACGATGCGACGTACACATTATATATACAAGAAAACCAACAAAGTTAATTAACTTTGGTGCTGTTGTTGTTGTAGTTGTTTCTGTTCTTTTGGATATGCTGGGCATGCCAGCAATTACCCACACTCCATGCACTCCACTCATTGACTTAGTCGACTCACCTGTGATCCCTCAAGTGATCCTGTCGCCGGAATGCCTTGCCACAAATATCACAGGAATAGGGACGCTCATCCGTATGCGTGCGCTCGTGTATGAGCAGATTGTAGGACTTGGTGAACTGGCGATTGCAAAATTTGCAGATGAATTGCTTTTTGGGTCTCGAAGCACGTCCAGGAGCGCGTAACAATCGGCGATCCAGGCCCGCATGCATGCCCGGCGCCAGGCCAGGTGGGAAGAGGGCTGCTGCTGCAGCGCCCGGTGGAAAGGCGAAAGTGCCCGCTGCTGTGGGCGAGGGCCCCGGTCCACCCAAGTATGGCGGTGGCGGTGGTGCGTACAACACCCCTGGCGGTGGGCCTGGTGGTCCCGGTGGTCCTCCTCTTCCTAGCATAGCCGCTGCTGCAGCGGCTTCCCTCAAAACCAACTCCTTGCGTTTGTCGGCCATCATGGCTATAATTTCATAATTCGAGTTGCTGCCCGCCCGTGCCTTCGCTTCCTTGGCCAATGCATCATTGGGCTCCAAAGCGCCGTAGACGGCGGCTGCACGCAGTGCCTGTCGCGTTGGCAGCACCGGCACAAAGGCGGAAATCTCTCGATGGTGTGCATGCGGTGGTGCCGGTCCATGTGGTGGCCCGGGTGGGCCGGGAGGCGCCTGTCCGGGCAGCAAGCCAGCCGCTGCCAAATGCTGCTGATACGCCAATTGTGTTTCGTAGGCAGCTGCTGCTGCCGAGATCCTGCTAGCTGATGAGTTGCGCGATTCGGAGGCGCTGCCCGACGAATCGTTGCCACCTGCGCCGCTTCCGGCGGCCGCAGCCGCCGCAGACACCGTAGATATGAACTGGTCCAGACGTGAGGTGCGCAGCATGGGAATGGCGCCACCTCCTCCGCCATCGCCTTGTGTGCTCTCCGTGGGCATGTTGTGGACTCAGGCGCCCCTTGGCTTCTCTATGTTGGCTGTGGGATTTGCTACCAGTTGCCGCACTGGCAACTCACATGCCGTTATCTCTCTGCAATGAGTAAATGAGCAGGCAAAAACAATTAGTGAAATGCCAGGCAAGGAAATCCAAACAGACACACACACTTAATTAAACGAACAGTGCAGTCTCGAAAGATAGAATTGTTTGTTACCTATAAAACGCGATAAAGTGAATGCATTTTTTAAATTACAAAAATTGAGTGTGTAATTTTGCAGCTATATTTAAACCATATTTTAAATCTGAATACCATTCTTCTGTTCAAAGATCTTGCCAAACCAAAAATCTAACCAAAAATCAAATATTATTGCTTAATTCCAAGTGTTAACTAAATTATTCGTTTGAGCTTTGACGTTTAAGCGCCAGAATCGGAGCTACTCGTTTATATATGGAATGTTTAATGAGTTTAAAATAACGAATTTTGGATTTTAAATATGGCTTTAGCCGAAATTATTGAGATATTATTGACGGTTTCAATTAAATGTTTTGGATTTTAATATCGGTTATTTAAATTTTTGGATTCTTATTACGACAGCAACTAAAATTGTGACTTTAATTTTTTGGTTTCAAATAGGATTTTTTGGGATTTAAATTTCGCTATCAATTGAATAACCCGAAATTATTGACGGTTTCAATTAAATGTTTTGGATTTTAATATCGGGCTTTATACGGGGTTATTATTACAACAGGAACTGAAATTGTGACTTTAATTTTTTGGTTTCAAATAGATTTCTGGGATTTAAATTTCACTATCAATAGAATATCAAGATTTTTACTTCGAATTCAGTTAAATTTTTGATTTTATATTTCGACTTTAATTACCTTTTTCTATTTCAACATATTTTTCGATTATATAATTTCGACTTCAACTAAATGCTTTCCTGGAAAATTTCGGTTTATGGTTTTAAAGCTCGACTTTAAGCGCTCATTTAAAGATTGCAAAATTTTGGGTATACCCAGGAAAACATTAGATACAAGGACAAATTATGATTAAATTTTGTTAAAGTTAAATAGTGGGATCTTTAAGTTGACTGGCAGCCATTCTGGGTTTATTTATATCGAACTCGTTATATCGAATGTAAACTGTATTTGTACACAGAAATGTTTGTATGTGTGGGTTTGTATCTACAGCTGTGTGTTTATTTGACTGTTCGGTTTATCTTAATTACAGCTCAAGTGCAATAAACAGTTTTTTCAGTTATATATACATATATTTCTTCTGTCGTTTTTTTTACCAATTTGTTTTTTCTTCTTCTGTATTATCAGCTATGCCGTGTGGAACTAAACTAAAACAAGTTGAAGCGGCGGCAGTTGGTTGTTGTTGCTGCTGCTGCTGCCGCTGCTGCCGTCGCCAACTGCCAAGTTAGATAAGATTGTGTGTGTCGCGTGTGTATGTGTCTAAATGGAAAAAACAAAATAAAAACCTGACTGGCTGACTAAACTGACGTTGTGAGTAAGGCAGGCAGGCAGCAGCGCTGCACGGTAGTAGCTGATATAGATGCACACACACACCCATACATATATATATATATGTACACTCATCAGTAGAGCTAAAGCCAAAAAAAAAAGTAGCAAACCAGCCAAGTTGCCGTCGCTTTTGGTAAATGACTCGACTGACTGCTTACTGGCTTTACGCAACAGGAGCTTCAGCTTCACTTTGCCGACTGAGTGCGCCTCTAAATGCTTCTGCTTCTTCTTCATCTTCTACTTCATTATCATTGCGATCATGACGTTAATAACAATAATGCTGATCGTTACGATGACGACAACAGCGGCAAGCCACAGCCAGGCAGGCATTTGATATTGTCATGCTCGTAGCTGTTGCCTTGCCAGCGTTTTTGCTTTAAGCCTTAATATCTGTAGTTGCTGTTGTTGTTGCTTGTAAATTTATAACCAGTTGCGCAAAAGCCACAAAATTGCGCGCTGTCTGCCGCCTCTTTAAAAAGATAGACAAACAGACAGACAGACAGTTTTGCTTATCATTTTCTGGAATTGTTCTTTCGCTTTGCCTGACAAGTTGCTGCACTTTGTAGGTTTTTTTTTGTATTTGTTTCTATTTTTAATTTTATTCTTCTAGTAACTGCTTTGTTGGTGCTGTCTGTTGATAAATTAAAGTGCCGCATCACCGCCGTCATCATCATCATCAGCAGCAGCAGCAGAGAAGAGGCGCCTATTATGGCCTAACGTTCAAAATTGTTATTATAGAAAGCTCCATTGTGATAAATGAAAGATTTCCATTAGAAATGTAGCCACACATATAAAGCATAAATGGGCAGATGTTATCTTTACGAACTGTGAAGTAAGTAATGCGTAGAATAGGCCAACAATAAAAAAATAAAATATGTATGTCGTATATACATGGCGCGATATTTGCAGTTGTAATCCAGCTCTGTCTAAGGTAAATAAGAATCTTTGCAAAATAAATTATCATACTAAAGTATGACTGATCTAATTAAACAAAATGCAAACGTTCTTTAGGGAATTAGCTAAATTGTTTTTAGTGCTTATAGTACTTCCTGAAGTTAAGTTACTTTTAAATAATATGTATATAGTTTCAGGGGTATTCTGGGTAGCTGTATTGTTTTTTACTTAAAGTCTTAGCTACATTTTTATAATACTTATTTCCTGAATTTACTTTTCAATAATATGTACTATATATAAACTCAGGTTTGTTTTTTACTAAAAGTCTTGCAATAAACTTGCAGAAATCTAAGGTACATAGGATCCCAGACTGTAAAATTAATAGTAATACATAAGTATAGATCAATTTCAACAATACGCAAACTCTCTTCAAGGAGTTAGTTGCTGAAACTCCTAACTCCTAACTCTTTGATTGTAGACAGTTTCATTTCTACGAGTATTGGCGAGTTTACTGACAAATAGAGTTACTAAAAATTTTGCAGAAGTCTAAGCTTATGTTATACTTGTGATATACACTTGATCGCCATTGAAAACTAGATTATGAATAACACAAATCTCGGCAATAATCTAACATCTTATTACCTAACGTCAAAGCATTTGGGTCTCAGAAATAAATATTTAGATAATTGAGATTCTCATACCCACATTCTTTTCATGTACTAACGAGCTGATCTGAATATTATTTTGCCTAATCTAGAAAGAGTTTACGACGCATCGCTTTACAAGTAGATAGCAAGGTAATGGTGATTAGTTTAGTATTGGAATCACTCTGACTATACAGACATAAGTTGTGTGTACATGATTTTAATCACCGTATAATTCGAAATGCACGTCAATATTATACATATATTCCCTAGGTACTGGATACTGTCATGCCTTTCTGTAGAAAAAAAAAATTGACCCATAAAACTGATTAAAATGGCAGCTAATTGAAGATACGAGTACTTTCCATATTTGCTTGAATTCCCATGAAAAGAGGTTTGAATTTTTCACGCTAATATCAAAACTTGAGTTGAATGGCTAATTTTGCTCAAAGACGCTAAAAGTGTCGACCCAAAGCCTCAAATATCATTAACCCGTTTGGGGCTTTTTTTTTTTCTTTCTGTTTCTTTATTGTTTCTCACTTATGCATTTATGACTGACGACGATTGGCGATGTGTGTACTATACATTGTATGTACAGTACATACATTGAACGGTCGGCGTTCATTATCTTTTGAAACATCGGCACTTTTGAAACGTCAACTCAAATAAGAAAAACAAATAAAATTAATGTAAATAATGGACATCATCAGCAAAAGCAAAGTCGCTACAGCACGTAGCGCAGAGTGAGAGCGATGTACTGGAGAAAAAAAAATCCCGCGTACCAGATACACACACATACTGATGGATGGATAGCTTGCCATGGCACGTTTGCGTTTGCGCAAACGGTTGCCCAGCAAATGAAGCCAAAGGCTTAACATACAATATAACGAAAAAAAAAACCCAGTAACTACAACAACAACGATGACGACGCTGCAGAGCCAGCCAACTACACACACACACACACACACGCACAAATACATTCCAGCTACTACTGAAGAAAATAAAAGATATCGAGGAGCAATTTGGCTGCCACTTTTGCTGCCTGGTTTTCTCGTCTGAACCATCGTCCAATGCGCTTGGCTTTGTGTAAACAAACAGTCAGTGAAAAGGTTCAAAGTAGTTGATAACGTAAGAAAATATACAAACAGTCACACTCACAAACGGAAAGACAGACATACAGACAGAGCGAGAGGCCGACCGTCTGTCTGTTGGTCGGACGGACACACACACATGCGCAAACGGATTTAATATTTGTATAGAAACGCGCACAGAGCAGAAAGACAAAGTTTGTCCCTCGAACTGCTGATGTCCACTAATGTACACTTGAAGGGTATAAAAGGGTGTATATATTTTGTAGAGAAGGATGTAACAAACAAAATTGTGGAGGGATATAACTATAATACAACAGCAAATGTTAAAATCTCTAGGTTTTTGTGTTTTGTTCGGCTGTATGAAGTTCTTTGCCTCTGAGAATAACATGTAAATAACCTGTTTACTCATCTGCTCATTCGAATGCTTAAGAGAAAAATCGTAGAATATAATAACTTCTTGTGTGCATTATTTAAATGAAACTTAGGCAGGCTCTTTTTGTAATAATTAGTTTATTTGTTTTTTGTGTCTGACTGTATGAACGTGTTTTTCTCTGTGAGTATAACAACTACTGTAACAAAACCTAATGTGTGTATTTTTCAAAAGTAATTGAAGTTAGCTGTAAGGTTTCATTTCAGTTTCCCTTGGAACGTACCGTATAGTTAGATAAAACAAACTTCTTTGTGCATTACTTTTGATTGTAAAAAAAAAAAACTATATATAAGTACTTTTTATAGCTATAATTGTTTTTTTCGGTTAGTTTTCTTAGAATATTCGGCTTATTGGGGCCAAACTTTGTGTGTATGTGAGGAAATGTATGCAATATTTTGTTGTTTAGTATTCTTTTTGGTAGAAAGAAAGTTCCTTAAACCCAACCATAAAATATAAATGTGTTTTAAAAAGTTGTTATTACTTAAATCGTATTTTGTATTATTTCAT